AGCCAGGTTAGAGTCAGTGCAGCGTAGGGCCACAGGGTTGGTGGCTGGTTCGCAGGGGATGCCATATGGGGCGAGACTGAGGGAACTGGGTCTCTTCAGCCTGGAGGAGACTCCGAGGGGATCTGTTGGCGACATGCAGGTATGTGGGGGGATGTCACAAAGAGATGGGTAGAGACCTGTTCTCCCCTGCAGAGGAAGGCAGGACGTGCTCCAACAGAGCAAAGCTCAGGGAACCAAGATTCAGGGTGGATGCCAGGAAGCACTTCCTGACAGTCGGGACCCCGAGGGTGTGCAATGGGCTTCCTCGGGAGGTCATTGAGGCCCCATCGGTGCGGGTGTTCAAGGATAGGCTGGACGTGCACATGGTGGGCATGTCGTGAGCGGAGTCAGCTGGAGCCGGGGGTCAGACTAGATGGCCCAGGAGACCCCTTCTGACTGATTCTATGTTTCTATGTCTGGGAGTATCATCCCATCAGCCCCAAGCAGCCCAATGACTGGGGATGATGGGAACTCTAGTCTAAGCTCTTAGGAAGGCATCAGGGTGGTTCAGTCTAGCCCTATGGCCTGCCCTCCAGTCTCCCAGGGAGAAGATTTTGTCCAGCGCTGGCCAAGACCCCGGACCTTGAGGGACCCTGCCCCCATCTCCACTTCGGAGCCGCTTTGCCAGTGTATTCATGGCCCACCAAGGCCTTGGCAAGCTCGTCCGCGCAGCACACCCGCCTTAGCCTTCCGCCACGTTTCGCCAGGTTCCTTTAGCAGCTAAAGTGTATCCGACTGCCCCGAGAAGTCCTGCTTGTTGGGGACGTGGCGTTTCTCTCTTATAAAACTAGTTTGAAATCTGGCACCAGAAGGAGAAGAGGCGCCCAGCAATTTCTGTCCATCTTTGCCCGAATCCGGCCTGCAATAAGTTTGGCTGCTGTAAATGCAACGCAGCTGAACTGCAACCTTAAAAAACTCACCGGATGAACCCCAAATGTCTGCGGCATGATTAGAGGGAAGGCCCTCTAGAATCATGGATTCCAGGACTACAAAGCCCACCAGGCGGGCTTCTGCGTGTTTCCACGGAGTGTGCTGGGCTTGAAGTTCTGCAGCTGTGACAGGCTCCGCCTTTGACCTGCATGAGGAGGGAAGACAGCTTGATGGGAACAGACAAATTTATAGACTTGCACTTTCTAATGTTCGCTTCGTGTTCTTGGCACGGAGGTTAGTTTCCACGTTCTGTTTTATGGCACCACAGACAGCAGTAACAAACGTGAAAGGTGAGTCAGGAGCCCAATAATGCCCAACAGAGCTTGCTGGTCGGGATGTGCGGAGCCATGTGGGCATCCAAAGGGGTGAGTGCCTGGCGCCGGAATGCCGGCCCGCCAGCGAGGCGCACCGAGAGGCACCAGGCAGACTCAGCTACACAGACAACCTTGCCCATTTGCTACCGGGGTTCAGAGGCGTTCTGCCCTCCTTGGGGGTCCAAGAACCTCCGTGAGGTGGCAACCGGTGCAGAAAAAGTGTTGGGAGGTCCCTCCCACGAAGCTCTGCCATTCCATGAGATCGGAATCGGCTTCCTGTCCTTGATTTAGCCTTTCCGGACCATGTCCATGCTGGCTGGAGACGTTGGGTGTTGCAGGCCCACGCATATGGATGGAGGATGCCCATGCATTAGACTGCTTTCACACACTGAAAACACTCCCAAGCTTGTCGTGTGATGGGCCTGATCCAAATACCTTCTTCCAGCTAGAGGGCAAAACTCTGAGCTTGGCTTTATTAGGAAGTGTCACAAAACTGTGGGCAAATTTGAAGTTGGACATGTGGAATACCAGAGAGCAAGTCTTGAGCAAGTCAAGGAAAGAAAGTTCTGTGAGTCGTGGTTGAAAGTGAGGCGCGTGGTCAACCTGAGGAGACGCTTAACAGGTGGAATAAGCAGTGCCTTCAAACATCTAAGAAGCTGTCACGGGCGGAGTTGGATGCTGCAAGCGAGTTGCTCTTGAGATGGGACTAGAACCCCTGGGTGGAACTTACGAGGAAGCAAAGCTCAGCTGCATATTAGCAGTATTTCCCCAGGGTTCAACTGTGGGACAGTCTTCTCTGGGAGGTTCTGGCCGGAGATCTTCGAGACTGGCTGGCCAACTCTCAGGGATGGCAGATCCTGCCTTGTAGAGCACAGAGATACAGCCTCCAAGATGTCCACTTCATTTATTCACACATGGAAAAAGCAATGTTCCCATTGTTGAACCGAGTGGGGATTTATTGATAAAATAACATCCATGTTTTCTAGAATATTATATATAAAATAACATCTTGCTGGTCAACTTCAGCCTTTTCGGCATTGCTGGTTGGGGCACAGACCTGAACTATTGTGATGTTGAATGGTTTGCCTTGGATTGGAACTGAGATCATTCAGTCATTTTGGAGACTGTATCCCAGTACTGCTTTTCCGACTCTTTTACTATGACTGCTCTTTAGAAGGTCAGGTACTAAAGCTGAAGCTCATATACCAGCAATTCACTGGAGAAGACCCGGATGCTGGGTGCGACTGAAGACAAAAGGAGAAGGGGGCGGCAGAGGTTGAGGTGGCTGGATGGGGTCACTAGGGCGGTGGGTGTGGGCTTGGGGGGACTCCAAGGGATGGTGGAGGACAGGAGAGCCTGGAGGAATGCTGGGTTTTTCGTGGGAAAGGAGGGGCTGAACAGTCTTCTCTGCCGATCTCATATTAATGAGCTTTCTGGTTTTAATGCACCATATGTTCAAATTCTGCATTTAGAGAAACAAACCAATCAAGCGTGCTTCTGAAAAACTGAAATCCTGCATGCAATAGCAGACCCAGGAATGCTGAAACCGTTGCTGTTTGCCTTTCCTATGAAATATTATTAGCTTTGAATTGCACAGAGAATCAGAAGCCAGGGACACCATCTGGTGCCTTTGAAAAAGTGACGAAGTTGGAAAATAATCATACAGTGTGCAAAATGCTATTCTGCATCAGTTCAGTGTCTCGGTTTCCCAAGCATTGGGAGTGATAGTTACTCAGACCTTGGGCTGCAATTTGTTTGTGGTCTTTGTAGTTGCACTTGCACACTGGGTCAAGAATGCCGGGCCCTTGCAAGACCCAGAGATCTGGCATGCAGGTCCCTGGTCGCATGTGCTGATGGGGCACTTGAGACCTGCTTAAATCCACGAAATCCACCCAAGTCCACATGCCTGCCTGAGTTTGTATGACGTGGCAAGCCAACCCGGTGAACGAGCCACGGCGAGTTGCGTTGTTCAGTCTTGGACCACTTGGCCTGGGCTAACCAACCGCTCTGAGGGCCCTTAGCTTGTTGCGGTGGGGACTGATCCACAAGAGGTTGAGACGTCGTTCCAAACCCAGGAGACTGATCCCACTGTGGGCCGCAGGATGCAATGAGCCAGCTGCTCAAAAACGGCAGCAAAGCCGACATCTTTGCCCTAGTTTGGAGCAGGTGAATCGGGTGAGCTATCCAGAAGGCAGCCTTGTCCGATTCTGGGGGGTGAATTTCAGCCGGAAAACTTTCACAAGGTGCTTGGACCACTTCTACATTGGTTCTTTGCGCCTCTTGCCTTATAAAAACAGTCAGACACAATGCAAGCAGGCAGTGCTTGGAGGGCAGGGAGCGAAACCCAGGGCCGGCGGCAGATTTCAGCTTTCCGGTCACTCGGGCTCTTCTGCGGATCTTGCCAGTCGTTGCACTGAAGAAGGTGCGTCGAGGTGAGCGGTTTCAACCGCCATCGCAGCTTTGCCTCGCAGTGGAGCCTGACATGCCACTGTGGGCAGCGAGCGCGGTCCTTTCCAGAGCATCCTGGCCCCGTCAGGCCGCTGCCAAAGACACACGGCAGGTACGCGGTTTCCTGTTCAGGTGAGAAGGCGCTCCCGACTTTCTCACCAGCTCTCCAGCATTAAAACAGCGCAGCCAAATTCCTTGGAGCATCTTGGAAAGGGAAGCTTCAGGATGGTTTCTTGCATAGTATTTCACTCTCAGATGTGACGTCCCTGGTTTAGCAGGCATGTCTGTTGGGAAGGAAACTCATGCGCACTTTGGCAGCGGCTTTGGAGTTTCTGGATAGCCTTTTCAAGGGTCGGAACAGCTTCCCCGGAAAGTGCCAGCAGAGGGAAGCCAGCCTAAATACAGACCAAGCCCCTACCTGGGTTCAGGTGCAAAGGCTTTCAGGAGAGGCCTGCGGTCAGAGGACAAGTTTACAAAAGTGATATATTTCCATCGTTCAAAGAGGAGGAAAATATAGGGAGAGGCAGTGTGGTGTAGTGGTTAAGAGCACAGGTCTGGGACTCAGGCTATCTGGGTTCCAGTCCCCGCTCAGCCAGGGAGCCCATTGGGTGACTTTGAGCCAGTCAGATTCTCACCTCAACCTACCTCACAGGGTTGTTGTTGTGGGGACAAGATTGAGAGCAGGAGGTGCCAAATGATGCCAGCCACTTTGCATCTATTAGAAAAAAGCAGGATATAAATCTAATAAATAAATAAACTGTGAAATTCCCTCACTTTGTGATGGCGACTAATGTTTTTTCGTTATAGTTGCCACCCTGATGGTGCCTCAAATTACTTTTGCTAAGGCCAAACTCACTTCTCCCCATTGGAGAGTTTTCTCCTCAGATCCACTGGGCTCCATGTGGCAAATCCGGGTCTATTCGGAGTGCCTCGCCTGGCCCACTGCACTTTGAAAAGTCTGCTTGGCCTTCTAAGGCATGTCTGCTTCCCCTTCCCCCCGGCAGGTATTTCAGGTGTGTTGAGCGCTGCGCCTAAAGAGAAGGGGGCAGCACACTGGCAAAGCGAATTGGGGAGAACGACCCAACAGACTCGCCCGATTCGTAACTATCCATCAATCCAACACAACAAAACCTTCATAGCAGCTTGATGCAAATGCCAATCTAATGGTTCCCCATTAAAATACTCTGCATTTTAATCTCATCCTCCGCTGGGAGCAGCATCTTGAGTGAAGAGAGCACGAAGGGATCGACGTTCTCCCCAACGAGCCGCTCAGAGCGTGCTGCAATCTTTCAGGATCATCTCCAGCTTACGGCTGAGCAGAAGGCTGCCCTTCACTTTCACCTTGCCAACCAGGAAGGCCTTGCGTGGTTTGAGCTTCCCCCGCACGAGCTCCATGAAGTCGTGGTCAGAGAGGATGAAGACGGTGTTGGCGGGCCTGCGGGAAGCCCCGTGGTAGACTTCGCCCGCGCCAGTCTTCAGGTCCAGCGTCCACTGGGCCACCACCGTCCCGCCATTCACGATGTCCCATTGGAAGACGGCGCCCACCTTTTTCACCAGCTGACTGCCCACCCGCCTGACGCGGTGGCCGATTTCTTCAAATATGAGCTCACTCTGCAGCCCGGTGGCCTTGGCTGAAGAACTTCTAGAGAACGGCGTGAGGGCTACGCACGGACCAGCCTTCTCGGATCCGTTGCTCTTTGTCCCAAGACCCCTTTTCTGTTTTTCTTCCCACGTCTTCATTTGCAGGTCTTTGGAGAATCATGAATCGTTGTTCAAACCAGGGAGCTCTCGAAGGGCCTCGGTTTCTCCTTCGGCAGCTGCAACAGCTGTGTGTCTTACCATGCCTCCTTGAGTGCCTGGCTTAGTGTTTGGGTTTCACAGGCACAACTGGCATGAATAAAATGAGGTGGGAATCATTGTTGGGTGGCGACATTGTGAAATCAGACAGGACAGCCACTTGGCATCAGGGCTGCATGAATTTGCACGCAGGGATCTCATTGGTGAATGCGCTCCAGAATGGTATTTTAAGTTCTGCACATGGGAATAATTGCACGTCATGTGTTTCGTATGAGAGGTGGGTCGCTTGTGGCCCTCCAAAGGTTTGAGCCTACAATTCCCATCATCCTTCACCATTGGACTGGCGTTACAAATGGATGCATAGCTCATAATGCCCTGCTTCCATTTCAGGTTTCCAGGGAACAGCTGGCATCCCTACGACTCCGTAAAACTATACACGATTGGACCGCTATCGCTTGGAATTTGCTGGCATCCCTCGATGATACACTTGGAAGAAAGCCGTTTCGAAATCAGCTTGCAGAACAGGGTTCCAGGGCTGACAGCCCAGAAAGGCTGATCTCGTGATTCAAGTGCTTGTAGCCATTTTATGGAACGGACCACAAGCTACAGTCAGACTCCCTCTCTCTCTACCTAGTGCTTGTCCCTCACAAATCTGCTTTGACAGTTACCTAGGATATTTGTCAACAAGACCTTTTTGACTGCAAATTTCTCCAGCACGGTGTATTTTTCCTCCCGAATCTCAGACCACCGACACCATGCGCCATTTCATACGCATCCTCCAATACTCACCCTTTTTCCAGACTACCAGTGTTGCCCCACGGGGAGCTTTTGCAGCCCCTCGATCGCTGGCATTGCCCTTTCCTACCGACCTACTTTCCAGCACTACAATATCCTATTTGAGGTGCAGGGCCCAGAACGTGACCCAAAAGGGCTCTATCACTGACATCAGGTAAGCAGCGGCTGGCCTTTCGATTCTGTTCCTAATGACTGTCCACACTGCATCTGCCATTTCCACAACCACTGCAGCCAGGACGCCGTTTTCATGAAGCACAAACTTGTACCCAAGCGCACGACAGCTGGGGCCCCAAGCGAGGAGGAAGTTCTGCTGGCGCCTGCTAGCAACTCACATGCAGTTGGTGGATCCCCAGCCAGTGCATGTCCTCTTTGCAGTTACCCCAGAAGTACAAGTTGGGAGTCTTGGAAACTTTCCAAATTTTGGACCATTGAAACTCAAATGCTTTGGCCACCTGATGAGAAGGACTCGCTGGAGAAGAGCCTGATGCTGGGAACGACTGAGGGCAGGAGGAGGAGGGGACGGCAGAGATGAGGTGGCTGGAGGGAGTCGCGGGGGCAGTGGATGCGAGCTTGGGTGGACTCCAAGGGATGGTGGGGGCCAGGAGGGCCTTGAGGAGTGTTGTCTGTGGGGTCAGGATGGGTTGGGCGTGACTTTGCGACTAACAACACAGGACCTGGCAGGAACGCAGGTGTGCACTCAACAGCAAACTTCAGCCAATGGTTCTTCCCTGATAGGTCTACCTGGATGAGTGTCCCTAGATGATATATATTTGAAAGATGCGCATCTCTGTATTTTTTTTAGCTACACATCTAAGAATACTGCATTTGACACATCCTGCCAACAAGTCTGAGAAAAGATTATTTTCCCAAGGTACTCAAGTCTTCAGAGTATTTTTTCCCCCAGATTGTAGCCACTCCTGGCTCTGAAAGCTCAAGGTAGTACCCAAACTTGAATATTTATTTACAACATTGGACTAAACCACACCCAAACACTTTGAAACCAGTTTGCTGTATTTGCTTGCTCACTTAACATGTGGGAAAACCTGTCTGTCAAAGGACCAAAATGGCAGCCCTTTCCTTCGGTCCTGGAGGAAAAATAATGGCAGGAAGGGCGGACTCGCATTTGAACTAAACCAAATTATAAATTCAGCAAAGGTGGTGATCTAGCATCTGTCCAGCACCAGCTGCAAGCTGCGAATACACCCCAGTTCCCAACCTCCTTGCACAACCGCTGATTTTGGCAAACTGGCGCTTCCACTCTCACCCAGAACGCCTGTGTGGTAAAACCGGGCCTCCTTCGCCAGCTCTGGCAGAAACGCCCCCAGACGGAGCACGAGAGGCGACCTGTCACGCGCTCAAGGCTGCCCCACACATTACAGACCGAACGAGTGCGCCGCAGCAGAGCCAGCAGGCAGAAAGCGAGTGCTGCCCTTGGGAGACAAGGGCGATTCTGGGGACACAGGCAGACTTTCCTCGCAGGCCACTGGTGGCCAAGCTCGCTGCACCGAGGAAACCCGCCGAGTCCCCCCAAAAGGCAACAGGCATTCAACACAAGAGGCGCTCAGGTGGCATTCTTTATTAATCAAGTGTTTTTCCCTTTCTGAAAAAGTTTAAAAGGCACACGTACAAACACATATTGTTCACAGATAAATAAATCAGCAGGTCGGTCTTGTTCAAATTCCGTATTTTCCACATTACAGCCACACGCAAAATGCACACATTGGGAACAGCGTCATGAAAGGAGAGACTGGGGGACACATCACACGAAGCAATCGAAACAGGAAGCCCCAGTGAAAACGGAAGGAAGCCTTTTTATTCTACCAAAACAGACCCTACAATCCATTACCATGGCACTGCTGCAACCTACGGAGAATAGCCGCCACACGCTGCTTGGGGGCAGCGGGCCCCTTCCCGCATGGCGCGAGAGCTGCTGCGGCTTCCGGCATCACCGCAGCCAGGTGGGAATCCTCGTGCCGCCGCAGAGGCCTCGGTGCCGCAACGCCTCTGCACATCCCCTCTGCTCCAGCTTCTGGAAAGGCGGGGGAGCTGCCAGGGGGCACCTTCCGCGTGGCCGGGGCGCTCGCACTTCCTGGCCGCCTGGAACGGACTCGCGCTGGAGCAGCTTCCATGTGGTACGAGAAAGGGCTCCATCGAAGCCGGAGGCTCCCAGGGGGTGCTTGGGGCTGGCTGTCCAGCAGACCCAGGTTCTGCGCTGGGGCGGGTGAAAGGTGGGGCCGCCGGGACACAGCCCGCCTCCACATGGGGAGCAGACAGGCCTGGTCCCCGTCCTCACGCTGGGCTCGGTGGCCCATCCGAGGGCTTCTGAAGCAGAGGGGAGCGGAGAGGTGAGCCCAGCCGGGCAGCACGGTGCCGGCAAGCCCCTGCCTCCCTCTGGGGACTGTGTGGACCCTCCTCCTCCCTCCCTCCCTCCCTGTGCTCCCTTCCGGAGGGGAGTGGGCCCCTGCAGCCCCCTGCCACGAGCCCCATGGGTCAGGTGGACGACGGGGGGTCTTCCCACCTACAGTGGCAGCCGGCCTGCAGCAGAAACCTAAGAACCCGAGAAAGAAACGGAAAAGGGGAACCAATCACTTCCACATGTAAGCGCATTAGCAATGGACACAGATAACATTCCTTTGGTTGTTCTTGCGTACAGCACGGTGCAGATCCCGAACTTCTTGCGTCTGCTCCAAATTCGCTTTCTGCCTGAATTTTTTTCATGGAGGAGTTGAGCATCATCTGCTAATGAGTGCCGGTCACCAGCAGCTTCTTACGGAGTCTTTTTTTCTGTCAAAATGGGGGGAAATCATCATGCGACGCAGGCAAACAAATTACCCCCAGACACAACACGCGATTTGAAATTGCCTCTGATTGTAAGGATCACCTCCATGAAAAACCCGAGGGGCAACTTGATTGTCCGTGCCAGTTTACAGTTCTCTGGAAATGCTCGTCCTCATTCATAACGGTAAAACTGTTACCGGATTGTGCCAGTCAATAGCTGGGGCAAACCCGGGTGGACCCCAGACCAGAGCCAAAAGGAGCCTGAGACGAGACTTAGAGCCAGAATCAGCTTTATTCTAGTGCACTATAGAAGAAAGGGAGACAAAAGGGGACATTCAGCCCAAAGCAGTGTCTCCAAAGTCGCACCCCAGTACATGCGTTTCATACCCTAGGTAACCCATTCGGTCACCTAACACACATCTAATGCATCGATCCATCAACGGATACACCCCTCCCGTGCTGGAGAAAGAGTCCTTTCTTCTGCCAAGGACCAGACAGTTCCCATGCCTGTTTCTCATCTGCTCGAGATTCACACAGCCTTGCCATGTTCTTACGCCCTGCACATCTGCAGCTTCCATGGCGGCTGCAACCAGTCTCCACTGTCCGAGCTTAGCCTGGGATTTCCCGAGCTTGAGACCGCGAAGACAATTTCTGGGAGGCGCGCGTGTTCCACCCTCAGAACCACACAGGAAGGTTTGCTCAGTGCTCCCAAACAGCAGAGAGGCCCCTGCCTGAATCTGCAGGCTTCACACAGCTGGCAGCTTCACGTTCCCTTTTCTAGGATGCGAGCACACGGGGGGAATGGGCGTTTACGTGCCACAGGCACTTCCCAGCCCAAATGTCTGAGAGCCACAGGGACATGGAAGATGGCAGGGAACTCTCCCAAGGAACATTCCCGGACCTCTTGAGCCAAACAGACACCGCTCTCAAGGGCACCCCACTGCCCTGAACTGTGCGCCATCTATTCCTTTAGCCAAAGGCATCCACAGCTCTTAACCGGACTGTCGCAGATCTCTGCAGAAAGTCACGGCAAACATCCTTCCAGAGTCATACTGACTTATTTCCATTCATTTCGCAACCTCCCCAATTAGTCTTTTTTATATTGCCAGTGGCTGCACAAATGGGAGAGAAAACGTCACTTTCTGCAGGCCCATTATTTTTAGAAAGACTGATAGTGGAGCCAATCTCTACTAGCACACCATTTAAAAAAAATTCTCCTTTAAAACTGTAAGTTTCGTTAGAAGCCTTTCCTGAACCCTTCCTGAGGTGTATTACTTCACTCTGCGCTATCTGTGGTCAATAAACCAGCCGTCAACCACATACTTTACGAGAGAGTAAGCCTGGGAAAATATGGGTAGGATTGTGCTGGTGGAGTTAGTCTATTTTTAAGTGCCTTAAGCAAAACATAGGTCCCTGCCTCCTAGGAGCATACAATCTAAGATAGACACATGGGGAAAGAGCTGAGAAAAGGGAGGCACAGAGGATACTGAAACTTGACACTCACTGGAAACTGTAATGAAAGGGCTAAGCCCGAAACTCTGCAGAGAAGCTGATTCTGAGGAGGAATCTGAAGAGCAAGCCACTGCAGTGAGGAAAAGTGCGGAAGGACGGACGGACTTCAGGCTTCGGGGCAAGCAGTGGAGGCGGAGGCATGATGAAGAGCGAGATGCCTTTGGGTGGCTGAGAAGGGAAGATGCGAAGGACCAGCAGAGGCCTTTAAGGGTACCTTAGCCTTTCAGTGTTTTAAAAATGTATGTGTATTTTAAATCTTTGAAAGACTGCTCTGTTTTATTTTGGTTTCTTTGTTCCTCTGGGTTTTGCATTGCAGTTTTAAAGTATGATATTATATTTTATAATGTCATGTTTCATGGTTTTAATTGCTGTGAACCACCCAGAGCGCTTGGGCGATTAGGCAGGATAGCAAAGTAACAAGGATAATTAAGGGATACGAGAAATAAGCTCAGAAGATATGGTGCAGGAAGGCCATGGAAGGTGAAGGAGGAAGGTGTGGGTGATGCAGACGTGAAGGGTGGCCAGCAGTGGGACAGGAAGGCAAGGTTCACGTGATATGGGAGAGAGAACGATGGGGTGGCAGGTTTGGAAGAGGCAAGACTCACGATTTGGCAGAGGGCGGACAGGACGAAGGTCACTGCAGCCAAGCTGAGGGATGGGCCAGAGAATCAATCGCAACGTTCGCTGCGAGGACAGGAAAGAATGGGACTATGTTTGCAATGTCGTACAGAAGATGTGGGAGCAAAAAGGAGGACGACTCAAACAAACGCTGCTCTCCTGGCGAACAGGGAGAATGGTTAGGGGGTTCCTCTAGAAAAAGCTTGGGGGCAAAGGGAAACCGAGTACTCCTGGACGTGAGGAATGAGACCATGATGAGAAATGGAAATGGAACAGGCGAGCAGGCAGAGGGAGAGAGGACTGGGATAGAGATGCAGCTGGGAGCCTATCGTGAAAATCATTTGCTCAAAGGGCAGGGTTAGCCGAGGACCCTCTGTGTGTCCGTTAAGGGTGATGGATCGTCTGAAGAGTGGAAGAGAGGTCGGCACATTTGAATTCAGCGGGGAAGAGGGCAGAGGAAGACATGGCGGTGAATTATCACAGGGAGATGGTCGCAGGAGCAAATGTGGCCAAGAGAGAAGCCAAGTGGTTAAAGGCGGGGGGCAGAGTGGCCATCTGACCGTGAGACGGGCGGACGAAGCCTGTGGGAGGCGGCTGGAGAAGCGGCCGCAGCTCCTTTCGCTCTCAGGTGCCATGTGCTCAAGAGAAGCCTGGCAAACACAAAAGAACTGAGCGGGAGCCTAAATTTCACCGTCCGTTATTGCCCCGTCCCTGCACCTATCGGAGACGTGTTGAAACTCTTTATCTGCCCAATCTGCAGGTTTTTCTTCCAGCGTTTGCTTAAAAATGGGACCTGAGCCCAATCCAAGCTCATAAAACTGAGCTAGGAGAAGTGGAGTTCTGTAAAGGCAGCACGCAATCGCCTCGCCCGGGGTCTGAAGAAAACACACACAAGCCTAGGGGCAGATTCCCCAAACGGCCACTGCCTCGGCTGCCGCTTTCCTTTTCGGGGAAAGCGGCTGAGTGCCCGGGGACGGCCAGGACACCTGCACTCTGTCGGCATCCTGGATTCCTGCCCATTCTGACTTCCCACCTGGACGTGTGGCTCCAGACGTGCTTTGGGCCTTAGCCGACCATCCTCACCTGGACATGGAAGGGGACAGCAGCCAGCGGAGCAAGGCCATTAGCGCTGTCTACACCCCACTGGGCACATGGTTCCTCTTTTTCCTGATGGTGGTGACGCCCACGCAAAGCTTTCACCCTCTGCCACGGGGAGAGCTCCGGTCTGGATATTCGGGCAGCTCTGGGTGGCGCCTTCCTGGCCTGGGGAAAAGCTGTGCAGCCAGGAAAGCTGCGGGAGAAGGGGTGAAGGAATGCCCCCCTTCTCAGTTATTCCATGGACCACCTTCCTGGCTTTGTGTTCCGGTTACTATGGGATGACCCCTGCGCAACCAAGAAGACCCCCTCCGCTGTCGAATTGGATTTAATCACGGCCTCCCCTAGCCTGGCCGGATTTGGCCACCCACAACGGAGGGCACAGCCCTTCCACACCGCCCAAGCCAGGAGGCCCAAGCGAGGTGCCGCCCTGCGACCTGCCTTGCCTGGAAGCTCTTCTGCGCCGAACTCTCACACCGGGGCTGGGAACACTTGCGCCCAGTCAGCCAATTCAACTTGCCACAGGTGATGAGCAGGATCTTACCTGCAGGGTTTATTCCTGCTCCCCAAGCAGACCTGCCCTGCCTCAAGGCCCTCCTGGAACAGTGAGTGTGGCCGCTGTGCTGGGAGAATATGAAAAATCCAGAGTGACAGGGCAAAGTCCCGGATTTTGTGCTGGGCACCAATCCTGGAAGGAGCGCTCCACTCTCAGTCCCTGCCCCCCACTGTTCAACATCGCATATTCTGGTGCATGCGAATTGAGCGCGAGGTTCCGGACTGACTGCTTTCAGAAATGCCGGGCTAGGCTGGGGGAAGCCCGGCATGGCTCAGCTTCCAGCGCAGCTGAGGGCGAGGAGTGGGGACTCCAGCACGGAAAACTAGACTTGCTGTACACCAGAGCAGGGGCTGTGCCCACGAGCCACAGGAAAACAGCTGGGCCCGAGACGATGGAGAGCGTGTGGGGCACTGTGATGGAGAGGTGGACTTCCTTTCGCTTGCAGGCACCCTTTGGTTTTCCACGAGGGGCCTGCGGGCGGATGCAGCACAGCCGGGCTCAGGCAGGCAGGCAGAGCACAGCCAGGCCTGACAGCAGTAAGCAGCCCCAGGCCCCGAGCCTGCGATGCCGCTGCTTATCCATCGCAGCTCCTGGCTGCTCAGAGCCCTGCCGGTGGCCCCCGCGGCAGGCCGCAAAATCCAGAGCAGCCGTGAGGCGTGGCATGAAGTGTTCCCCTTGGTTCATCTCGAACCCTACGCGCTCCCCAGTCCCTCCAGCCCGTCCACAAGACCCGCGGCACCAACTGCTGTGAGCTTCCGCACCACCTCCGCGCCGTGGGGCTTGCAGCAGTGCCCACCTGCTTCTGGCAGGCCTGCCTTTCCTTTCAGAACGGCTCCCCGCCATCGCAGGAGCTACTCCCTATTCAGACCTTTAGTGCTTTCCTCTCGACATTTCCCACAACGCTCTTTTCTTCCCTGCATGCCAAATGAGCACCTTCTTTTCTTCTTCCCTTGCTTTATTCGACTGGAGGACTCAAAATGAATCCTCCGGAGATATTATATTACCAATGCCCAGCATGTTAGTTTTAAATGCCTCCCTGGCGGGAGGTGGAAAAGCCAACGCAATTTTCAAAATGACAGCATGGAAAGCGGCTTGATTGAATGGCTCCCCTACAGAATTTTATGCAACCGTCATTGAACTCAGGCAGGGAAATTGTGCAAGGGGCTCCGTGAGTCATTCTGAGCGGGCAGCCTCACCCCCGACACAATCAAGAGCCGTTTCGGGTCGTGCGGGGAAGCCAGGATGGAGTGACTGCCGACGTGCTCCATCGTGTGGCCAAAGTGATACTCTGCCCATGAGGATGCGAGTTTCTTCCCAAGGTTCAAGAGAGATGGGCCCTGATTCACCACAGTCCGCCACGGAGAGGCGCGCAAGGGCCTTGGGATGGTTTTTGCTCCTGAGAACCAGCCTCTGAGCCTTTTACTTGTCATTCTCGGGAGTGGGGGGGAATAACCACAGATGATCGTTCAAAATTAATCGCATACTTTATATTCAGTTCTCCAAAGCAAGACTGGAAGTGAACCGGGCATGTTTCCCCCCGTCTTTCCGGACCCCCTGTTCAGCATCCCATGACGTCCCAACAGGCAAATGAAGGCTGGCCCTTGTCCTCAAACTAGAAGGGCCGGAAAGGCTTTTTTTCTGTCTAAACATGCAGAGGACCGTGCCCTAAAAAACCCAGTTTCATTCTGGTCTGAAGGCAAGCCGTAATCACAGTATGCCAAGTTAGACACTGCGCAATGGTTTATGCTGAAGAAGAAAGCAGAAGCAAGGGTGAAAGGGGCAACAAAATTTTGTGATTTATTTCCGATTCTATTCTGAGGGTTGTCTGAACTGAGATATTCTCGCACACCCTTTAATCCTCTATAGTAGGCCAGCATTAGCATTTCCATACTGCAAATGGAAGGTGGGGGGAGGGGTGGGGGGAGGGGAGGGGGGGTCCCTAAGGCCAAACAAGGTGAGCACTGAACCAGCGACCTCCGTTTATAGCCCCACCTCTGAGCCACTGCATTCTGCTAGCTGCTCAGCTCGGTCCAAACAGCTTAATAAAACAAATCGTTTTTAAAAAATTCTGGCAGTGAGACCAAAGATCGAAACCAACAATTCCGCTCATCATGTCACGAAAGCCAATTGGGTTTGAGGTTGTCCCGCGTATCGCATCACACACGGGAAAGCTGCAGTCTAGAGCAATGCATATTCAGGACAGATTTGTCCACAGAAGGGTGTGCACACACCAGAGTGGTGAAGATGAATGGTCTTTTTTTTAATTAATCAAAACCATGCATGGTTGCTAAAAAAAGGTTGTTTTTCTGCCTGCATAAAATCCAAGACATTTGGGTCACGCAACCTTCTTAAGAGCAGATAATGCTTTTTGTTGCATCCTATTTGCTCAACTGCGTCTTGCTGCTCAGTGCTCCGGAGCCGCTGCATAAAACTCAGGTGGTCACAAAGGTGTTTCCAAAATGACTCAGTGGGAAAAAACCAGCTTTTTTGGAAAGGGGGAGATGCAGGAGGCAGAGGAGAAGACATGGCAAAAGGCATTGAGAGGGGAATAAAACAGAATTTGAACAGCAGATCAGCATTATAATAGTAAGGAAAGAAGAGCGAGGGCGACCAGGGGCCTCCGAGAATTGCCTGCCACCCTGTGACGATGCGTGCCAAGACTGGCTTACGCTATCCGCGGGAAAGAAGGCGCTATACCTGAGCTGCGCTTGGGGAGCTACGGCTCCCGTTCCGAAGAGACGTCCCCCTCTGCCCCACTGCTTGCACTGGGGTCGTTTTTGCTTCGAGGAACATTCCTTTCCCGGCTCGATTCCGAGGGCACCTTTATCCGGGTCTTCTCTTTCCGCTGCTGCTGCTTCTCCAGTTTCGCCAGCTGAAGCAGAGGAGAAAAAGAGGTTGCATGAATGCACATGGAAGGCATACCATATCCCACACGAGACGGAAGGGAAGCATCTTCCGTCAACTGTTCTGCAGACAGCTTTCCTTCCATCTCGTTGGCAGGGAGGTCCCAGGTCTAATTTTCTGCTAAGCACGACGTACAAGCCGCTGCAGTTGGATTGTGCCAAAGCTGCATCTTGGAAGCAACGTGTCGGCAGGTGGACCTTCTTGAATGACACAGGCGCTCCCCTTAAGCGCAGCATTTCAAGACGGCCTGCCAAATTGCCACGACTCGAGTACCAGGAAAATGGTGACTACTGTGAGGGCGACCCAGCTGAGGTGAAGCGCTGCAGCTCGTCTCACTGGGAACTTCACGAGCAGGAGGAGCAGGGCTGCCCAGAGCCGGCCCTTCCTTCCTGCCCGAGGCTTGCACACAGCAACAGTCCGTTGCAGCACCGATCACTGCTGGCACGTCGGAGCCTGGGGGCCTTGCAACGCTGCAAGCTGAACAGCAGCCTCGGCTCCTAGGAAGAGCGGGTGGGGACCAAACCGGCCTGGGAACTGTTCCCCAGGCCTTCCCTTCTGTTCGTGCTGCAGGCTTCAGCCTCAGGGAGGCTCCTGCTGGCGGAGTGCCAGCCGGAAGGACCGCCGCCTGGGCAGCTGGTCTCCCCCAGGGCCTCATCGCCGGGCCAGGGCCCAGGCAAGGCAGCGACTCTCCCTCCTTCCCTGGGTCCCCGCCCGTCTCTTCCGAACCAGGTCAGCCCTCACCATCTGCCGCGGGAATGCTGGCAACACCTCGATGGAGCACCAAGGCCTTTGCCCACCCTTTGCTCCGCCTCTTCCTCGGTGTCCTCCCCATCAGAATCCAGCCACGTGGGCCCTCAGGAAGTTTGCAAGGTGGGAGCGCCCGGTCCAGGCACGACACCCCCCGCACTCCCCACAGCAAGACCATGCGGGGAACGGCCAGAGTGGCTCCAAGCCAGCTGCAGAGGGCCCTAGTCCAGCTGTGGCCCAGGCCCGACCTCAGACGGGGGGAGTCCGCCCCACGGCCTCCAAGCAGCCCCAGCGCGACGCATACCCGCCTCTCTCACTTGTGTTACGAAGGGAGGTTTTTGCACCCTGGCTGAAGCTGAGGAGGGGCAGTTTTTCCAGAGAGCAGACCTTCCCAAGAGTTACACAGCGCCTTCTCAGTCTGCACAAAGGTTGCTTTCCTTCACCACCAAGTAACGACACGGCACAGAAAGAAGGTTGCCAAATAGGCCCCTGACACCGTCGCCAAAACAGCCACCCTGTTCCCAGTCGTGAGAGGCTGCACTTCCACGAGGTGCCGGCCGCCACGAGCCACTCCTGCGGCAACAAAGCAGCAGGCTGCTGTGTCCGGAAGGTCTTGGGCGGTCTTAGCCTCGACACCTGCTGATCCTGCTGATCCTGTCAAGCGATGCGCTAAGCCATGGGGGCGCTAACAGACCAGGTGACAATCTTGTGCGAGAGACGAGGGCGGCAGAGGTGAACGGGGCGACGTAAGAGGCAAGGAGACCGATGGAGTAAAGCTGGAAGCCCAGGCCTGGAGTGTTCCAGGGCTTCACTGCAGAAGCTTCAGGAAAGGAAATTTTGCAGGCTTCCTCTCCTGGGTTTCACTTGCCCTCAGGTGCGAGGAGACCTTCTCAGGCAAAAATGATTTTGGCCAGGCTGATGGGCAGCTGATGCTTCTGAACAAGAAGAAACTGAAAGGGGCTGGGGGCACAGGTCACAAGTGCGGAGACTCACAAACATCCAGAGCAGAGGTAGGGGGGCAGTGGAGGGAGGCCATCTCTGCCCCCGCCATTTCCTGCTCTGCCTTTTTGTCGGATGCCTGTTGGGCCAGAGAGCAGGGGAACCTCGGAGTGCGAGCAAATTCCCCACAGAGCGCAGCCAGCCGCACCCCTGTGCTGTTCAGCTGCTTCTCTGGCTCTCTGCTCAGCTGTGCAAGCCTTGGTGGCCCTCCGACAGCTTCCCTGCTTCCTCATACCAGAGCGAAACAGTCTGAAATAGCTGGGAACCAATTTCCTTATGGACAATAAGAATAAATGGGATCCAAGCAAGGGTTCTATTACGGCGGGATCATTAAAAATTAAAATTAATATTCTTTTTCTCCAGCAGGCCTATTAACAAAGGATGGTACATTTCCAGTACAGGCAGCCCTCCCCTGTCCGTTAAGAGAAAGTTAGCTCTCTAAATTCACTCTGCAAAGCATTTTACGGTCACTTCGGTTCACGGATGCAGCGCCCTTTGGGAAGAATTGGCCGAGTTTGCTTTCAAACATTTACTTTGGAGGGACAGCAGAACCTCTTAAAAGAAGCAACTTGGAACTAAAAATGTGGAGAGCTCTGAGACAGAAAGTATAAAGGAGGCTCCTAAAATTGTTAGCCTATGACTAATGGGGCTGCATGCAAATAAAATCATAATAAAATTTTAAAAAATAAAATTATAAAATTGGTGTGATGATGCCAGGGAGAAACACATGCTTCTTTAGGTACATGCTTCCCACAGCAACAGGTACCAAGGTATTGCCCACATCACAGTGGATGTAAATCACAATAAGCTGCTAAAGAGATCAAAAGATCACTCAGAGTGGATCTCTTCTAAACATGGCTGAGCTTTTCTTGTCCCCTAGCAGCCCGCTGAAGCTGACTTTTTTGGCTGCATAATGGAGAATGTTTTCTCTCTGTTTAGGAATAAAAAATAACCCAATCTTGGGTGTGCTTATTCCCACTGGGCTAAACAAGGCTGGAAGCCAAATATGAATTGCCTTTTTTTTTTAAAGGCAATGGACATATACTCACCATGCTAACCTGACCTGACCTGGAATCCATAACCACAAGTGTGGCCATTGTTGTTACTATCATTTATTCATCTTAAATCCTACAGTTAATTAATCCCAAGGACCCTGGATCACAATGAAACAATAAAACAATGCATCATACTGACATGTAAATATATAAATAAAATACACAATTTGCAGCTGAGGGTCAGATATAAATAGGCCAAAATAATCTAAAATGAGGCTGTTCTCTACCAAAGGAATGGAGCGCTGAGGCAGAGGCAAAAAGGAGGCAGGCAAGCCCCTTCTATGGGATGTCGCGCCCCTGCATAGGAAGGGCCACTGCCGCTAAGCCACGGTTAGTTAGCACAGGACCGAGTCTGAACCGGAAGCGGCGTCCAAGCACGAAGCAGAATCAAGGCTGGGAGTGCGCTTGCACATACCGTCTGGAGGTGACGCCCTGTTTGTGAGCACTGTTCTCGGCCTGGTTTGGAAGTCACTCGGGCTACGCCAGAGGTGAAGTGAGCGGGGCAGGGGCACGCAGTGGGTGAAGGACGTGGCTGAGAGAAATACTGCTGCCAACGGCTCGGCCAGTCAGGGTTCAGCAATAATGCCCTCTCTGCCTCCCAAGCACCATCTGCAGCTCACATAAAAATAATCCTCCTGATTCAAAAGAGGGGGTTTCGGCATCCTATGGAAGACGGGAAGAGTGCGGAGCTCACTCGGGGTGGCCTCCATACTGCTCCTGTGCTGCAAAACTGTCCACCTGCCACAAGTCGTGTGCCTGGGAACAATCCCGAATTTCCCCAGGTCAAACATTAACAACCCTTTCACATCTAACAACACAGCTCAAAGGAGAAAATTCCGGGATTGATCTGCTCCCGTATTTAAATCAGGCAGGCAGCGTATGTCTCTGGGTTGCTTCATTTTAGTCACATTCTGCACTATCTCCTCCAAGGTGCACTGGAGCGGACCTAAAGGAGCCGGCACGGAGCCTGGGTCGCCCAGCACTTACCTGCTTCGCGTCCAGGGGGGCCGTGGGGGACTCCAGCTCGATGGTCACCGGCCCATCATTCTGGATGTGCACCTGCATGTATTCGCCAAATTTGCCATCTGGAAAATTAGAGGCCGCTGGTTTGTTGACGTCGCAATGGAAGTGCTTTCAGTGCAAAGCCGAGGCAACTTGTCCCGCATGTTGCCGAGGCTTTGCTGCACACACGTTCTCCAAGACTTGTGGAGCCAGTGTTGTAAGAGTACCGAGACCGAAGCAGTGCTCTTATCGCTGCATTTATATGCCACCTGAAGGCAGCTGCCTCAGTTCCTCCAATCCATTCTATTTCCCAACCAAACCCCTGTGAGGTGGGTTCAGCTGAAAGTGAATGACCCACTGACCTTCACAGCTGAGTGGGAACTAGGACCTACCCCTCCCAGGTCCCCAGTTCAGCACTCTGACCCCCCACACCACACTGGCTTTCAGTGGCTTTGCAAACAAGCGAGTAAATCAACGAAGACTTCACTGTTGCGCTAACGACTGGATCGCAACCTTCGGACAGCTTCACATGATCACAGCGATGAATAACCACTGCCCAGGGATGCCCTCCAAAACACCCTATGCGTCCCATCCCTGCTCAGCAATGCTAAATTTAAGGTGGTGGCTTCCTTTATGGAGTCTACTCATCTCTTATTTGGTCCTCCGTGGGATTTAATCCACCTTCTGAACCATCTCACAAGAACTATTGAAGACTTCCATGTAAAGAACTGTGGTGGAAACACTTCTGCCCAGGGTATGCGAGAGCAGTATACAATTTAGTGAGAAGTTCTGGATAACTCTGTATGTTCCCAGACAATCCCATGACATGATTAATGGTTTGACAGAATAATAATTGTGTGTGTGTGTGTTTCTAAAGCAAGTCCCTTCCATTCCTTACATGCCTTTGTGTAATCTGAGATTTTCAGGCAGGACAACTTCTAAACTAGTGCAAGAGCTTCCTTCCATGATAATGGTAACACCGAAATAAACTGCAAGCTAGACTTAACCCCCATGTTTTGACGCAGAAGCGTGTGTTACCGTTTATAACCCAAAACCTCCAGCCTGGAGGAATGTGGAAACCTCCATCTTGCACGTCAAACACGGGCCGATTCTAATAAAGGTGGGCAGGTGGAAGCACGCAAGGCACAGTCACAGGAAGGCATCCCTTCCAAAGAGCATGATTCTGCGGCCTGTGCCTCGCACCAATGTCTTTTAAGCTGGAAGGGGGAGCAGGGCGCGGAACCAGGCTCAGTTAACGCATGCTCCGGGCCAATGGGACGGTGCAGCAAACAGCAACCTCCTGTCCCCCTGGCTACCGAAAGCACCGTCCTCCTCTCTCAGTGCTCCAGGGCAGTGCCCTCAGCCTGCAAGAGGAGGGCGGCAAAGTATCGCTTTGGAAGCTCGGCGATTTCCCACACACCTTTATGACCTCCCCATAGTCCCATTCGTAGGACTCTCCTCTGCTCGCTCTCTACCCATTTTTAGCTTCACCACACCTGTACAAAGACACGCCTGAAGGACCGGTGTTTTAGCATTATGACTGATTGTTTTAACAAACCAAAATGACTACTGACTTCTTTTACCCTCAAAACATCTCCTTTTTAAAGGCACAATGATCCATTAAATGAATTGACAAGAGACAAAAGAAAAACAGCCATTCTTAAGGGCAAGGAGCTTTCATGAGCCATCTGGATTCCTCACTGAAAAATGTTTCTTGTATCCAACAATCCACGATTTGTCTTACCTTTAATGAGTTCTGGTTTGTATGTGTTGCGGAGGTGCTCCAGGAAGTTGTTATAGAAAGACTTGGCTTGTTCTGAAGGCATTGCAATGTGATAATCTGGTTTGTTTCCCCTCAGGATACACTGAAGAGTAAACTGGCTGATACACAACACTTCATACTGCTTGTCCATTACACTTTTAGACCAGAGTTTCCCACTCTCATCTTCAAACACACGCAGATTTAAAATCTTTCGAACCCTAGGCAGAAAAGCAGAAGTCAGGAATGGGTGTTCGTTGGAATTAAGAAAACTCCCACAATTCTACACAAAAATGAAAAGAAAGTACAGCCAGGAAATGGAAGACAAATATGATAGCTAACATATTTGTATTTTTATAATTTAGCCATTAAACATGCAAAATACAGATGTATAAGAAAACACACCAACAAACAGCTATGTATAACTGAAACAGAAGAAAAGTGTGATACTTTGTACAAGATTTTGTTCTTACATGTGCTCAAGCTCCTTCTGAGTGTCTTCCGCAGATATACCCAACAGAACACAAATGCCTTGCCCAATGGAACTTATTTGTTCTCCAGCAACTGCAGAAGAAATATTTCTAAATGTTAAAACTTCCAGAATTTCTCTTTGTGTCATGTCAACATGCAGTAACAAAGGGACTGGAAAAACTTGTTCTTAAATTAAGGATCCAGCTTGCCGCCCAAAAAGTGCTGCCCTTGGGTACCAGTTACGCCCCTAAAGGAACATTGCCTCAGATTCCTAGGCAAACGTGAACACGTGGAATGATGTGAGGAGGTGCCTCTCCTACAGGAAAAGTACAGGTGGAAAAACGGGACCAAGGCTCGGCCTATTAGACCCTGCACATGACTCGATTCAAGCAAACTCCTTGAATGGTAAATTGGTCTCCGGATCCTCGCAGGAATGCCCCTGGATTCGAGCACAGGAGGAAGCACGAAGGGGGCGCAGAAGAGCCTCTCCCGGGCCTGCAATGCGCGCGGGGGAGAAAGCAGGGCCTCCGCCTCAGCCTGGCATCTGGGCGGCCGGGCCCACGGGACCCTCGCCCGGGAAAGGCGCGCGAGGAGGGCCGGGCGCGCGCAGAGCAACCGGCGCGGCCCGGAGGGAGGGCGGGAAGGCTGCGCGTCCCCGGGCGCGGGAGGCGGCAGGCCAAGGGCCCCGCGGGGCGCCCCGCCCGGGGCCCTGCGCCGAGCCCGCGCCCGGGGCTCTCCCACCAAGGCGTGAACCGGGGGGCCCGGGCGCCGCAGCCCGCAGGCCCCGGCCTCGCGCGAGGGAGGGAGGGAGGGAGCGCCGCAGCCCTTCCCGAGGCCCCGCCGCCGCCGCCGCCCACCTGTCACGCTGGCGCGGGTGACACGCTGCACCACCGCCTTCATGGCGCCCTCCGAGGCGGCGGGCCGCGGACTCGCCGGAGGCCGCACTGCGCGTGCGCGCCGCCCGCCCCGCCCGCGACTTCCGGGTCCCCGGCCCGCCCCGCCCTCTCCCGGAAGTGCGGCCTGCGCGCGGCGAACAGCGGCGGGAGCGGGAGCTTCCTCGCGAGGCGCGGGCGGGAAGGGCGCAGATCCCCCGCGGCGCGGCTGCCCTCGGGGCCGGGCGCTTCCGCCGGGCCTGGCCGCCCCTAGCCTCCTTTCCGGGCCGGAAGAGTCGCGCCCAGCGGCTCCTTCCGGTGCCCTCGCCTCAGGACGGGCGGGCAGCGGCTCCGCCGTGAGCCGGGCTGGGCCCGGCGCCCCTAGCGCGCCGGAGGGGAACGGCCTGCTGCGGGCGGGCGGGCCGGGAGAGGCCTCGGCCGCTGCTTGCGCACAGTGGCGCCCTCCCGCGTGGCGGCGGCCGCCCGCCGCTCCGGCAGCTCAGAGGCCTCGCTGGGCCGCCCGCCATCAGCCGCGAGGAGCGCGAGAGCAGGCGCGGAGGGGACCTGGGAACGCCTCGCGTCGATCCCATGCTGGGCTCCGGGACGGAGCAGCAGAGGAAGGCGCTGCAAACGAGCCGAGGAGCGCCCGGCAGCCGCTGACGCCCGGGGAGCCGCATCCCTAGGCGCCCCCACAGCCCGAATGCAACGGGCGAAAGGGCCTGCTGCACCGGCAGTGCAGGCAACGGGGTTACGTTTGGCCTGCAAGACCGGACTGTCCTTGGAAAGTGAACATCCGGGGAACGGCGATCCAAGCAGGCATCCTTTTGTGCGAATTAAATTGCGGTGCGTGTCGCACAAGCGTCAGAAAGATTACGTTGCTTCTATTCCGGCCACCGCATCAGAAGGAGCTGGGATCTCGCAATCACTTGTTGACTCCACAGACTAAGACTTCAACCAAATATCAAAATGAACGATCAGGGACGCCAAACTGTAGACACTGTTGCTATCCAAATGATTTAAAGGGAAATGAGAAACCTCATTACAGCATCAATAGGCCCGGTCAAATGTGCTTAGCAGTTTTATTTAAACACAAATGAATCAAAGCATGAAAAGAAGTATCTGGATTCTACTTCGGATCTTCTTGGCACCAGATAGAGGCCCTTCCTATTTAGTGCCCACCACATTTTGGACTTCAGCTCTCATCAGCATGCCCAGCAGGTTGGAATGTTGGGAGTTGTAGTCCAAAATTCCTGGAGGGAACCAGGCTGGGGAAAGGTGGAAAGAAAGACAGACAAGAAAATATTTCACAGTCAGAGTAGTCTGAAAGAACTCAAACTTTAATAGATGTCACACTGGAATCCATGAAGCAATCTAGGACACCCAGTGATTTTTTTAAAGAGCAACCATTGACTGCACAGTACTTCCCAGTTTCCATTATTTTAGATCCAGATCTTGTGCAATGAACTAGAGAAGGTTCCATTCTTCAGTACAAGACACCCTTTTAAGCAGCTTGGGGTTTCTGTTCCCAGATTAACTTATTTTCCTTTGTTATCAGACTCATTAGAAAATGATAGAAAATTCTGCAAACGAGTTGTGTATGGTACAAAGTTTTTTTTATAAGTGGTCTGGCTTGAAATACATATCCTTTGTCCAGGTGAGAAATATATCGCCCTGTCTGTCATGGTATCTTCTGAAGCAATTGTAGGAAGGTTGTTTTCTTTGCCTAAATGCAAAAAGGAAGGTAAGTGTTCCAACCCATAGAAATTCCTGATAATATAATTAGAAAGTTATGACAAATAGAACGACGGCTTTTACATATCCACCAATTAGTTAAAAGAGCGCTTCATCATATTGTTGGCTATATTTAGCTTGTGGGCTACAATGACCCCAAGACCCTTCTCATTTGCAGTATTGCTGAGCCAAGCATTTCCCATCTGGTAGCAGCGCTTTATTTAGTTAGTTGTTGTTCCTCAGTGGAAGACTTGGCATTTGTCCCAGATGAATTTCATTCTGTTGTTCTCTGCCCAGTGTCCTAACCTATCAGGATCACCCCATATCTTATCTCTGTCTTCCAGGGCATTTGCTATTCCATCCACCTTTGCATCATCTGTAAATTTAATTATCTGTCCTTGTACCTCCTCATCTAGATCATTAGTAAAATGCTAAAAAGCACCCATCCCAGGACAAATTAGGCATAATTTCACTTTTCTGACCTGTTGCCAGAAATGAGAAATTTGAAGAGCTGCTAGTTATGATTCTGTCACTGCAAATTCTCCACTTTCTCTAAGATAAGAGCTGTCACTAGAAGCTCAGGCGACAGCGGTGGCGAGGAGCACTTTCCTTCAGCTTAGGCTGATCCATCAGCTGGAGAACGATTGCCTGGCCACAGTGACACATGTGTTGGTTACTTCCCGGTTGGACTTCTGTAATGCGCTCTACGTGGGGCTGCCCTTGAAGACGGTCCGGATACTTCAGATGGTGCAAAACAGAGCTGCCAGGTTGCTGACGGGGACTGGGCATTGTTCTCACATAACCCCAGTCCTCTACCAGCTTCACTGGGTTCCCATCGAAGTCCAGGCCCAATTCAAGGTGCTGGTTATCACCTATAAAGCCCTTAACGGCTTGGGACCTGGGTACCTAAAGGAACACCTGCTTCTGTATTTGCCCTCCCGCCCCCTGAGATCGGTGGCAGAGGCCCTCCTCCGGGAGCCCTCCGTGAAAGACATTAGGAGGGTGAGTACCCCGCCTATGGAATGCGCTCCCCAGAGAGGTCTGCCTGGCGCCGTCGTTACTTGCTTTTCGGTGCCAGGCCAAGACCTTTTTATTTAAACGGTATTTTAATAAGTGCTGGTTTTATCTGTTGTTTTTAAATTATTGCCAGGATGTTTCCAGATTTTATATGTATTTGTATAGATATTTACTTATATGTTGGAAGCCATCCCAAGGCTTATGCAAATGGGACGGCATACAAAAATTCCAAATAAATAAATAGATACAGTAAATCAGCAACCACCGCGAGCAAGGAGCCTTTCCCACCCCCGGCACGAGGCAGGTTTTTAAAGATACCGAACCTGTGCAGGCCTCTTGTCCGAAGCTCACCTTTCGAGCCTAAGGCAGCCGGCATGGCACGGCGAGTAAACAAGCTGGATCGGGGCTCTAGATCCGGGTTCCAGCACCTACTCAGCCATGAAGCTCATCGGGGGGGGGGGGCACAGCCCAGCCTACCTCGCAGGGTTGTTACGAGAATAAACGGAGGAGGAGGAGCAGCAGCAGCAGCAGCTCGTTACCCGCTCCGGCCCTGCAACTTATGCCTTGCCTTCTACGGCCGTTAACGGGGGAGGCACTACGGACACCGAGCAAGCTTCTGCCCGCGATGAAGAAGCGGGGCGGGGGCAGCGCGGCCCCTTCTCCTGCGGAGGGTGCTCTGCACATGCTCAGAGGCACGCGCGCCGAGAAGCGAACCTACCCTGCCAGTCCTGCGGCTGCGGATTCGGGTCCTTCGTGTCAGTCTGCTCGCGGAACAGGTACCGGCTGAGGTAGTAGCTGAACACCGTCCACACCCCGAGCGCGTATATGAAGGCGCTCCGTCGCACCCAGAGCCGAGCGGCGGCCTTGCTGCTGTCCGACATGGCGGAGACGTGCCCCCCGCGTCGCCGAGCGGACGGCGCATGCGTGGGGCCGCCTCGGAGTCCTTCCCGCCTCCTATTGGCTCGCCACCGCGCCTCATCTCCCTGCGACTGCCCGGGCAGCCAATAGCAGCGCTCTCCGGGCTGCTCTTGCCACAGACTTATGAAGGGTGTAGAGGGGTGATGGTGCGGCCATATCCCGGGGATGCTAGGGGAACCGGAGGGCAGCAGGAGCGCATCGAAAGCGTCTCGGTGGAGGCTGGCCCTGGGCGGGGCGGGGGTCTCCGGGCAGGGGTCTCTAATGCTGCCGGACCGCCGATAAACTCCGCATTCCGCCCCCCACAGATGGGGAATGAGCCTCGCTTCGCTTCGCTGAAGTCACTCCACTGACTCGCGTGCCACTGGCTCGGTTTTTCTTTTGCAGCAACGGACTTTAACCATCGTGAGGTTTATAATAATCAGACACTATACAAGAAATTTTAAAAACGTAAGTAACGAGATTAAAGAGAATAGAGACTGCACACTGCTTCGGCCCCTTTCCTCAGAATAAGACATGGATCTTTCTATATTGGGCAACGTCCAAACAGTAATATTTCTATTGTAGTGAGAAATAATAATGGTCCCATTAAATGTCCCAGTTAAATCTGTTTGCTGCCTGTTCACATTTTCAAAGGTGAAGCAAGAACGGAAAGGTTTGCCTCTTCAATCGACTACAGGGAGGCTGTGCACACAGCCAATTTCTCCCTCTCTCCTTCACATAAGCATAAAAAAAACCTTTACGATATACACACACTGTGGCAAACATTATGTATTAACACTCTCAGTTTTTATTTTAGGTACAAGGGCAGAGAACAGCAAAGGTGTTATAAAGGCATTGTCTTGGAATAGTTACATGAATGAAAAAAATTCCCCGGTGGAATGCAGACAAGGAACATCAATAACTTAAATCTGAAATACAAAAAATCTTCTTATTTGCTTGTTACATGGAATCATTAAAAAATTGATTTAAAAAGAGGGGAGGAATGTTATTAATTTCTTGGCAGATTGAGGTTAATCAGCAGCATGATTCAGGTCACTGACTTTTAAGTTCCTTAGAAGGTGAAATTAGGATGCACTTGACACAGCCAGTTTCTTCAGATGGTCCATGAACACCTGAAGACTAACATCGTCCGTTAGGATTGGGGCGCCAGATTCCTGGAAAAAGAAGTTACAGTTCAAACACCAAAGTCTGAGCTGACATATCTGGTAAGAAAATGTGACAGATGAAGCCTGCCATTGATTCCAATCATAGTTGTCCCTCTTATTTCTCACCCAACCATTTCCAAGCCTTGCACGCAACAGACGTAAATAGTTGTGCTGTTTAGATGTTTCATTCTACGGAATGCACTCGTTCCAAATCGTGCAGCTCAGTTCTAGATCGTGTTCTTTATTAATTTATCTGCCATTGGAGACTTGGAGGAATTTCTCATACGATGGAAACCAAGACTGAAAGCTCTCAGACTTGCTTCTCTGCCCCCCCCCCCCTTAAGCGGACGTTATGGCTGATGTCATTATGGCTCTTTAGAAGGCCAGATACTGAAGATGAAACTCAAATTCTTTGGCCACCCAATGAGAAGGAAGGACTCCCTGGAAAAGAGCCTGATGCTGGGAACAATAGATGGCAAAAGGAGGAGGGGACGGCAGAGGATGAGGTGGCTGGATGGAGTCACTGGGGCGGTGGGCGTGGGCTTGGGTGGAATCTGAGGGATGGTGGAGGACAGGAGGGCCTGGAGGAGTGTTGTGCATGCGGTCGCGATGGGTCGGACACGACTTCGCGACTAACAACAATCATGTTGTTCATACCAGTAATTATATATAACAATGGCTGATGTGTGAGCACGTATTCAGGGAGCGAACAGCAGTTCGTGCAGTCGTGCCACTACTTACCTGACCCCATGCATAGAGATTATTGTGTGTCTGAGAAGGATTCACTTTAGATAGGAGAAACCGTGCCTGTAAAAGTCAAAATGCAAACACAGCTTAGATGCAATGCAACAGGACATGGCAAGTTTAGTGTAACGTGACCGGATTCGGCGCCCTGATCTGCGCATGCACGTTCATTCTGCGTGGCTTGTGCCCTGGATCAATGAAGATCGCGTTCCAAGGAAAGCGGTCTGCATCTCCTGAACCCCATCTCCTGACACCGCCCTCTTTCCGCAGCTCCTTCTCACAGGGTCACTGCTGCAGTGTGACAGCAGTCAAAAATACCCCGAGAAGGTGACTTGGATGGGAAGGAATGACTGGCGTCACCCCATCCTGTTTTGCCACCTTGAAGTGTTTTATTTGTCAAGCGCCTCGGAAACGTGCACATTTTTCTTTTTTACAGGGAAATATACACAGATTTCATGACGAGGCAGTAAGGGAAGAGAAACATAGACAAGTTCAATGGCTGGGGAGTCAACTGAAGGGAACTGTGCTGTATATTCTCCCTTCTTTTATCAACAGGGTCGTGCGAACCCAGTCTGCATGAGGGCTAGGCGCTTGGGACACGCTCTATTTTTACTTCCAGAGTCCTTGACGCACCTTTGTTTGCAAGGTTCTGCCTTACCTGACTGCCCCCATGCTCTGTGTTAATGTAACGGGGCATCGGGAATCGCGTCTGCAGGATCTCTTGAGCGTCGTCCAACGGAGCCTGCAGTAAATGCTTGAAGTTTTCATACTCGGGCATTTCTTGATAGCCAGCTTTGCGCCACTGGGCAATCGTCTTATAATGGAAAGGAGGGAGGGAAAATTGATCCAAGCGCTCCCACGACTTCACATCTTATTTCTCTCGCCTTTCCTCTCTTACCAGACCATCCCATTTTATTGTCAGGCACTTGGAGACAAGTGTGTATTTTTGTTTCCCAAACTATTTCTAACCAAGGTGCAAAAGTCCTTGCCTGTGATCCAGTCCAAAAATGCAGAAAACTCAATGCAGCCAAGTAAGCAATGCCACTGAACTGTTTTAACTTTTTTAAAAAGCAAGCTTGTCCGGAAGCACCCTTGGAAAGAGTATTTCGGGCTGTTGCTTACATGTCTCCTAAGTAACAGATGCTTTTATTTTAAACCAAGCGGCAGAGTGGCGGTTGTGCACCGCCCTGTTCACGAAGGGGAGGCAGGGCATGGGAAGGGAGTCACTTCCGACCACTCGCGGCCGTCGTTGCCACATTACCTCACCAAGGTAGATGACGATCTGGAAAAAGGTATCCATCAGCAGTATTCTGTCGGCAAGAATGCTGCTGCTATCCAAAAGCACAGGCTGCAGGAAAAGGTAAAAGAGAAAGTGTTAATTTCTGGCTAAGGAGGATGGTGTTACCAAGCAGCTTCCGACAGATCTCGTTTCCTGAAGTACTCCAAAACTAAATATAAAATAGGTGGTACAACATGATCATTCCAGTCGTGTGTAGTGTCCTCTCTCAGGACTGACGCAGAATGGTTTTTTTAAATGCCATGTTTGCTGCTACTAAGAATTAACACTTGCTTCTAAATATCCCATTGGTGTCTTCCACTCAAGCAAGAAATACCTGTTTATCACATTTATAAACTGATAGCTAAGATCCTGGTCCCCGAACTTTGAAAGATGGGATCCCCACTCTTAATTACACAGATTATTATTACATTAGGGATTCTCCTTCACCAACTGATTCTGGGATGATTTCTTCTAACCACTGTGGATTTAAGACACTTCCCACCATTTGGAAATGGAATTGTTCAGCAAGGTTTCTCTGCAAGGTGGAACTTGGCGGGTGGAGCGGCCGAATGCACTGAGCACGGGGTCAGTAGATATTCCCGGCCTACAAAAAGTTCGCACAACTGGCGACAGCGATACTGACGAAGATTTAGCTCTGAAAAAAGGAAGGCTCACCTCTGGTGGTCCATAGAAGGAATAGGAATAGAGGATGGGTTGGATCATAATGAGCGACTGAGTCAGGTCTTGCCTGGCAAAGTGATGGCGGTAATACGAAGATTCATCCGGACTGTTATTGAAGACTTGAAGGAACGGAGATCGTCGCAAATGGAACATGAACTGCAAGACAGCAGGCACGGTCACAGCCCCACTCCTGTCCGTTGCCTCCCCCTCCACAGGAGCTGCACTTGGCTGGCTTGATTAGAGGACTGAGACAGAGCCAGCAAACACGCAACATTTGTCTGAAAGCTACGGAAGCGGATCTTCACTGCTACCTCTTAGCAACTGTTTATGACTTTTAAATTTTTAAAAGTTTAAGACCATCATCTTACCTGGGGGTACAGAGAGAAGGACTCTGACAACCTAAAAGAATTTGGGTCATCCTTGCTGTACTGTCCAAACTTCTGGCACTGTTGGAATAATAAGTAAATCTCAGCAATCCTTTGAGTATTTTAAGTAAGTATTTTAAATAATGTTACAAATAATACTTTACAACAAGGAAGGATGAAAAATACCACCAAGAAGTTAAAATATATTTCTTGCACAACGAAAGAAATCAAATTTACACATAAATGGGCACATTTAATATAGAAGTCTAGTTTCAAAATTACTATGGGAGGAAGTGCTTTCAAGATCATGATGTAGTGCAGTTGATGTGAAAAACGGTATGCCTCCACACCATGTTTCTCTGTAAAATGATGCAGAACTGCATGACGATAAATATGACAACAGAACACACAGATCCAGTCTCCCCATCACGCTGCAATTTCTGGGTTCTGTAACCTGGGAATTGCCAAGAAGCAATGAAGCAACAATTGACAAGCCAGAAATATCGCCTTCCTGGGTTGCTCACTGACATGCAAACTCGGAAGCGTTGGGTCGTGGTCAGATTAAACAACCCAGACTTTACCCAACAATTGCCTCTAGTTTGTGGCTAAATTCACTGTGGGTTGTTTAACAGAAGCAATTCAGAATTTCTGGTTTTGCACATCACGGCCCAGAGACAGATTAATGAGAAGCAGAAATGGCACGCGCATGAATGGTACTATAAGAACACCATGAAATGTGTGTAACTTAGAAAAGACCATTTAATACTTTGTCAGAGATCTTACTAAGTGGGCTGCCTGGACCAAACCATTGTGTTATGTGAACAACCCCAGGGCCTGCCGGCTCCCACTCTTCCCGCTGCGATCCCACAGAGATGGGAAGCATACACTTCTGTTTTAAAACCAAACCAAATTCCCCATTGCTTCAAAATTCAGGGGGAATTTGGTTAGTGTAAGATTCACAGAGCCAGGAACAAGCCATGGTTTAGGATCCTGGCCTATTTATTTGCCATTCCCTGGCTAATTGCAGGGAACGCTGTCCAGGTTAGAAGAGCGAGTGACTGCTGCTGAACCCCCCGCCCCCCGGGGCCACATCGGAACTTTGGTGCAGAAGCATCAAAGGCCTATGTAGGCTTGTCCTTGCAAAGCTACGTCCCTGATTCTGCTCACATTCAAGCCGGCCAAACGCTACAGATTGAGCCCACGGATTGTTCAAACATGACTTCAACCCACTCGGGCTCAGAGAACACGCTGCGCTCATGTGGTCGGGAGGCCTGGGGTGTACGCACCAGTCGGATCAGCTGCCTGTCCAGCCACCGCAGGACGTCAGGGCCTTCCTCCGATTCAGCTCGGTAAACGCCCAGCCGGGCCATCAGCACCGCTGCTGCTTCTTGGTCGAAGGCGGCTTCTATGTGTTGCAGCTGACTCTGTGCATCTGCCCAGCTAAGGGGGACCGCAAGGATTAGCAGCCTGCAGTTTGGAAGACGGAGGCCCACCCAGAGCACTGCCCCAGCGCCCGCGGGAGGCTGGCCTCGGGCTGCGAGGTGCCGCGGAAGCACAAAGCCAGCGGGCCACCCCGACCCCTGCACACTGCTCTCACTTTCTGGCGATGGTGGTCACACGGATGCGCCTCTGCATGCTGGAGTGCTGGTAATGTGTGACAAACTGGATCGCTCCCCTGCCACCCTGCGGGATCGGCGCGTTGTGCTGAAGATCGGAAAGACAGACGTTGCCTTTAAGAGACGAGCTAACGCTTTCAGGGCAGGCTGAAAATAGGCAGTGCTCCAGAATAAAAACAAAGAGCAGTGTATCGCTTTCAGAGTCGGCTGCTGACGAATGGAAATTCTGGAGACACCAGCAACGAGAAGGATTGCTATGCGGTGGTAAAGTAATTGGAATTAGACCAGAAGTGCACTCTTTGCCATACTCCCAGGAGAAAGGTCCACCGAGTTGAATGAGCCTCCTTCTTAGTAAGGCCTGTGCCACGTGAGAAATGCTAAGACCCCTGAGGCAAAGCGCAAGGGAAAAAACGAAGGGTGCACACAGGGAGAGCAAGACCGTTCCCAAAGAAGTATATTTTCTAAGTGTGCAACACTGCGCAAGAAAAGAGCAGCTGGGCTTTTGGAAAGCTAATTTGCTCCGCTTAAACAGTACATGGCCAGAAGTGTCTCAAAATGTGAGCCTGGCAAAGAACGAAAAAGGGCGCTCACCTGATTCACGACTTCAAAATAAATGGCGAGCGTCATGGTGGGGTCAAGGCTGCAGATCTTCCACTGGCTCGTGCCACCGATCCCAAGTTCCTACAGGAGACACGGAAGCATTCCCATTCCGTTCACGGAAGCATTCCCTCTGCCGGCCAGTTAAATCTACTCGCATTCTGTCCGCACAGCTTGTTCTGGGACTCTGTTTCGTGCGCTCGCCGATCCGCGTGCGGCTACAGAACTAACGCACGATTTGAGTCGCAGGGCCTGTGACAAACAGGCGTCCCGGTGCTACAGGAGGGGGTGGGAAACGATCCGGCCTTGCCCATCTCCTTGTAGTTCCACCTGCTGCGAAGACGCTCTCCTCCGTCTGAGCCAAAACAACGCAGGCAGCCCTGGCCTCAGCTCTGGCACCGCTCCTCCAGTCAGGGCTCTGTGAGAGGTGCTGCCTCGCGCGTCTCATGATGCAATGCTCTGTCACTCAGCAACTGCGCAGAGAAATCCACTGGCGACCCGGGGGGCATCTGAGGCTGGGGCGGGTCCAAGTCGTGCGCTCTCTTGCATCACTCAACCTAACGGGCTGGGCCAGCCTGCACTCCCCCCTCCCCACCCCAGGATCAGCCGATCTTCTGAACAGGTAAGCACTGCAGTGGCTAATGGTGCCACTTGGATGTGTGGGTTGTAAAACAAAACGTACAACGTATTAAAATGCTGAGTATAGCAAAGCTGGAATGAGAAGAAATAGGAATCGGGGAAATCAACCAAGGGAAACCACAGAGGGCTCAATCTAAAGAGGCATAAACACAACTCTCCCTTTCAGAGAGCCTGTTTTTTAAACATACCCCACTCCAGACAACTAATCTCTCTACAGAATCCTGATCTCTCAGCCAGGGTCACCGAGATGTATTTTTTCCTTCGGAGCAGGGAGACAACCAACCAACCAACCAGATTGCCCAAAGAAAAGATGACACACACCCGGCACGTCTTCCCAGAGCAGCAATTTCAGGTTTTCATAGTATCGAAATAACCCTGGCGTCCCATCACGAGTTACTGCACCCGCACGCCTCGCAAACTTACATTTTCGGACACACATGGCCCTTTGACACCGAGGGAGACACACGGTCCAATTGCGCCAGCGATCTTCAGCTCTCTAGAAGTCTAACGTCAAAATAACCTCAAGGTCAGTGCAAATCCATGACCATGATGGCCCCACGACCTGACAGATCAGTTGCCCCGAGACACCCCGTTCGAGGACTGGCATCTCCACAGACAGGGAAAGACTGGAATGCCAAGATAACTTGTTTCCCCATAAAACCGCGAGCGCTTCTGTTGAGAAGGGTGGTTACCTGCGGCAGGGGGGAAAGGGGCCATCCCACCCCCCCGCCCCCCGAGAGGGAGAACGCCAAGTGCCTGGATAAAATAGGAGACCCTCTTCTGAATTCGTCAGACCAACGCTCGTATACATTAGCCCTTCCTTCCTTCCGTCCTTCCTTCCTTCCTTCCTTCCTCTCTCTCTCTCTCTCCCCTCGCCTTTCTCTCCCCCCCTCTCCCTTTCTCTCTTTCTCTCCCCCTTTCTTCCTTCCTTGTCGGGAGAATCTAAGAGGGACACTTGACTGGTTGTCCCTGAACGGGGACACGGCCGCTGTTTCTCGCACTTACCTTCACTTCCAGCGTGGCCCCGAAAGCCATCCGAAACTCCCCGCTGACGTCTTTGCTGAACACTCTCTGGAAGGTCTGCTTGAAGAGGGACGTGTTGAAGGAGTCCCCCATCAGCATGTGGCCCCTGCAAGGGAAGAGAGCCCGCAAGTCATCGGCACCGACGGCGGCACGGGCGGCCCTCCCCGAGCCGAGTGAGACGGGGCGCCAGCCGGACCGCATGTCTGCTCAGCCAAAGTAGCTAACGAGGTCGCCGAGGGAAAGCGAGGGAAGACCTTTTTATTCAAATGTCATTTTAACTGTTAATGCTATTTATTTATTTTATTCTTCGGCCAGGACGACTTATTTTATATTGTTGTTCTATATTTTTACCGTGTAATATTTTAATTGATATATTTGTGAGCCGCCCCGAGGCTTCGGCGAATGGCGCGGCATAGAAATTTTCTAAATAAATAAATAAAACAATAAGTGAGGAGAGCGCCATGTGACCTGCAATGAACTCAACTCACTGCACGGACTAGATCTTTCATTTAAACCACAGGCAGAAATACCACGCTGTTGACTAGAATCAGTTGGTAAACTGCCTTTCTCTGCGACAGGAGCACAGTGTCGGGGAAAGAGACAAGCGCAGACTTTTCTCATGCGGCGCCTGACAGACACAGCAGTGTTTCGCTCTGCCTCCCACGGCCTCGGAGCGCCTCTCAATGGAACCCAGACGCAGGCAGAAGGCGTGCTTTGCTCCCATGCCCCTCGTAGATGGACAAGCCTGACATTTAACTTCACTTCGTCGGTTTTAGTCCGTGAAAGGAAAGGGACCCTATGGACTAGCTGCGTGACAGAACAAACCCCACTGGGTTATCTAGCCTGTGGGGAATTTACAGTGCGTGCCATTGCCATTTTGCGTATCTGACCTCTGCAGCAGAACTGTGGTGCTGTGCAAATTCAACATGCAGGGGTTAAACAGCCCTTGCATAAGCCTGGAACAAACCATGGGTTAGAGGAGGGTGCTGGGTTGTCACAGAAGCCATGGTTGCTCTTTCCTACAGGCAGGGGCCAGATATGCAAAGCACTGCGGCCTATTGTGAACTACCGAATCCTGTGTGTACCTGTGCAGAAGAGGCTGCAGCGAGTCAAGACAGTGGGCCAAAGTTTGCGGCCTCAGCGACACAAGGCTCTGCCTACAGGAAAGCACTGGAACTGCAGCAATTGACATTCTCTCCAGCCACCCAAAAAGACCCCCTGAAAAGCTTCCCCTTCTTGCCCTGAAAGGAAGTGGCAGGCGGAAGGTACAGCTGAGAGCTGTGCATCCAGCGAGAAATCTCCTTGTTCCCACTCAGGAAAACAGAGACGGATCCCTTCTGAACATACCCGGTTATACTGGTACAGCACTTCATCTCCAAGAGGCCGCTCTGATCCAGAGCGCAGGCATAAATATCAATGCAGTGCCCGCTGGCAGCTGCGCGATTGGCCAGCGCCTCGTAATGCTGCGGAAAAACAACAGGCAAATCGAAGACACGTTTTATTCTCATTGTGATATGGGGTTGTTTATCACCCTCTGTGGCAAGGACCCCGGGCAACCCTTCTGAAAGTCCAGGCCGGCCAAGGCACTTCTGGTTAGGGCCTGGGAGTGCTTTGAGCTCATTCGGGGGAAAGCAGCTTTGTTAACGGAGGCCAAGCCAAAGGGCCACCCGAGGGCCTTAGCAGAGCCCCTGGCCTGTTCTGGAACATCTGTGAATATTTCAGGAGGAGAACAGACAATGCTGTGGAACACGAATAGCCAGTCTGGGCGCAAGGCCAGGAGGCCCTGTTGTAAACCGTCCCGAAACATCTGTGAAGAGACGGTATAGAAAACTTTGAAAGACAGACAGACAGCAGGAACTGTGTGCACAGAGCCAATGGGCAGGGAAGCCACAGAGAGTGCAGGAGACTACAGAAATTAGAGGAGAAGAACCTCAGAGGCTGAAGGAAAGGAACGAGAAGGCTGGAAGTCGAAGCAATGAAGCCTGAGAGATAGCAAGGCCCAAGCGGCCAGTGAGAAAGAAAGGCTGGGGAAGAGTGCCACGCAGGACCTGGACTCAGGGCAGCGATCTGCACGTGGGCAGAAACACTGAGCGCACCGGGTAGCTACGGATAGCTACGGATAGGGAGGCGGAGCAAGAAAGCAGCCGGGGGTCAAGGGAGGCAAAGCGGGGAGTGCGCTAAGCAGGGGAAGCGACGAGCGAAGGAGATGCTGGTACCATGAAGGACTGTGGGCCTTGAGGACGGCCCACAGGCATGACGCGAGTTAGTGCCTTGCAACCTCAAACCAGCATGGAAGTTCTCTGGGGCTGACCGCTGCGTGCACAAATGTGTGGCTGTGGATGCTGGTGTTCGTTAGCCTGTAAAAGCGCTGAAGAGCGTAACATGGGGGTGCGGTAGCGAGTTACCCCGATGGCATCACGGTACTGAAGCGACTGCTTATTCCAGAGTGTTAGGTTGAAATTTTAGGTTGAAATTTTTTATTTAAATAAAAACATACTACAAAAATTCCAGAGTGTTAGGGTTTTGTGCAACCACCTTTGCGGTGGAATTGAAAGCTGCAGAGGCTTAGCGAGAAGATGAGGAAGTAGAAAGTGTAACACAAAATTATGGTCTACTAGTGAGCAACGACACAGAAGATACAGCTGTTTCCTAGATAACTTCTGCCATTTCATTTTGCATAATTAAAAAAATACTCAGGGAGAAGCATGTATGTGGCCTAAATCATTAGACTCTGAAGTAAACATTTCTCATCCACTATTATTTTCTGAAGAGGAATTCAACCTATATGTTTCAGGAAAACTGATTTTCAGAACTTTGCATTTGCTCTTACAGAAAGAGAGAATTTAAAGCACACCGACCTTCATAGCTTTCTTCATGAACCGTGCGTTATCTTTCTCTATATCATGCCAGGAACGGATGGGAGTTTTCAGCTCATCTCCAACCACCATGCCTGGCCCCTGAGTTGGTGGACCACCTGTAAACAACATTATTCTGGCCCCAGTATTTGGAAACGACCCCTTGAAGGTGAGAAAGAAAGGAAAACAAACATACACAAAATGATCAGTTCGATCTTGAGGCAGTGTTAGCAGGCCGGTGTATATCGGCCTTACGGACAGCATCTACCCTACTGGGAATTATAGATACCTTGTTAAGAAAAAGACGGAGGAATCCAGGCTAACTTATTTCAATTCCAAGCAGTCTTTAACATTAGGAAAGTCAGAACTGTTCATTCTATATTATGTCTCCTTTCTCCATCCATAATTTATAACCAGTTGGACGCAAAGGAAACGGAAAGAAAGGATTTTCAAAATAACATTAACTGCTGTCTGAAAATGAGATTATTATTCCTATTTTGCTACAAGTCTCATTTTCAAAACAATGTTTAGGTGACACCAGCTGCCATGCTTTTAAAAATAGTCACATATGTTCAATACAGGTTCCATAAGATATGCGAATGACAGTAGCTTATGCTTTTTGGATACGGAATGTGCTAGAACACGCTGACACATTTCCACAATTGTTTAAAGTTGTCCGTGAAAGTGAAGATACCTCCAGTAACCCAACAGCAATGGACAAAGCTGCGCCGGTGGATCGCAAGGGTCTTTTTCCTTGCGTGACTGGCCATGGGTCCCTTTGAAGCTCTCCTAGGAGATCTGTCAGGTTCATGTCGATCTTCTGAACAGGCTGCAGAAATCTACCGGAATTCAGAAGCATACACTGCTTTATGCTTTGGCGAGTCAACTTGATTTCCAAAATCCTCGTACGGTCTGCCTTCTCATCAGACTACTAAAAGAGCGATTAATATTAGCAGAAGTGAAACAAAGCAAGTTTGGTGCTGCGGCATATGACTCACATACACCCAAATACAGAGAGGACTTGGAAGAAGCATTTGCACATTGGCCAGGCTACAAAATTCACGGCACGCTAAATTTGAAATATGCCAAAGGATCCGCTACCTATGTACCATGAAAATATAACTGAAAATAAAAACTGAAAACTGATTCTTTTTGTAAGCCGCCCCAAGGCTTCTGCGATGGGTGCAGCATAAAAATGTTGTAAGTAAATAAATATAAATAAATAATAAAAATACACATGGAGAAGAAGAACTCCACTGAGCAACACTGGAGTTCAAATGTAATTTGCGACATATCCCCACGTTCTCAATTGCACACTGATGATAGAATGCCAAACATCTTTGAAACCATAGGAAAAAGTTTGCAAGAGGCTCCCCTTTGACTATAAATGCCCTTAACCACTAATGAGAAGCAAAGCAGCTGCTTCACGCAGCCTGAAATGGACTCATTTGCTTTAAGGAAAAGGCATCCTTGCGGCAAGTCCGGCTGAAGCGCTGGAGTTTTAAAGCTTCCATGCAAGCCGGCTAGTGAGACACAGCCGGCCTTGCGGAGCTGCATACCTGCTCGTGACGTGAGGCTGCTCCTGAGGCTGAAGAGCTCTTCCTTGCTGAACGGGTGCGGCAGGTCTTGTGAGACCCAACATATCCTGACAATTAAAGCACACATCAGAACAGGAGAGGCCCAGGAGACAGCACTTTGAGATGGTCTTGGGGAGCGGGGACAGGCCAGCTTTCCGTAAAAGGTGAGGCGGACATACCTGGATTTGTTTGGCCGTTAGATCCTTCGTGCCTCTGAAGACGTAGCTTTTGGAAATTCCCTCGCAGCTCAGCTCGTGAACCTGGACCATTCTGCCGAAGGTAATCAACCCCACGAGAGCGTTGGGGGGCAGCAGGCTCAGGGACATCTGCAGTGACTCCTTCAAGGCCTGCAGGTCCTCTTCTTCCAAGCATGTGTCCACCACATAGAGAAAGATCAGCGGGGTCTGAGGACCCCGCTTGTGTGCAAGAGAAGAGAAGGAAGCTGAGCACATGAATGTGCAGAAGAGATGCCTGCATTTCCCTTTGTCTTGATAGTTCTCAGCACCTTCCACCTTTTCTACACTGCGCTAAGCCACGGAAAAGTTAAAATCCACAATCTTCCCCCCACCCTTGCAAACAAGGATTTTTGATAGCTATTAAAGGAAAGCAATTTTCTTTAAGCAAGATTTTGGAGAAAACTAAATTTGAAAAATTCATAGCTACATATGGTGGAGTTTCAAACATTTTACTCAAAGGATTACCTGGACTATATATTCAATTGTGGAAAACTGTGGCATAAGCTCTGCTGGTTGATTCACTTCAGATATGCCTGCATATGCTGGAGGAAACTGGGAAGATTAAGATATATTTTGAAAGTTCCTGTATAAAGCAATATCAGCAAGTATTTCATCTTCATAAAACAAGGCTGCTTGGTTTCCCTTTCCCCAAAAATGACAACTGATGGTTTCCTGGATACCCGGGAAATGATTTGTGACTGAACTGAAAGTCAAACAGTGCTTGCAAACCGCCCCAAGTGTTACGTCAGCCGTGACATGAAGAGTCAGTCTCAAGGGATGCGACATCCTTCTTAGCCAGACAGTATCACGATGGAACTACGGCCCCCCACAAGACAGCCAGAAGCAGGGGCAACTTCAGCTTCTGTCTGGGCAGTGTTACTGGCCGATATGCAACCAAGGAGAGGAGAAAAAAAGTGACACGTTCATCACGTACATTAGCAAGCTTTACGGATTAGGCAACTGGGAGAGAGCCCCTGGAATCTCCTCAAGACCGAAAGGAGTTTAGAAAGAGTTACTGAAAATACTGATAGGAGTTGTGTCCCTGCAGATATTTAGGCCTACCTGTTGCCCACCTAAAGCTTTTCACACCCACCTGGTTTCTCTGAAAGCAGAAGTTACAGGCCCAAAGCTTGGCTCGGTAATCCACCTGACTGCAAGAAAGTAATACATAAGCTTTGTTAAAACCAAATCCAAATATCTCTCTGACGAAATTACCAGGATGAGTTTAGTTTTGAGGTCGGAGGCTGCTGCTGGCGTTGCTTGTGGACCATAGTGCCTGGATTCCAGAATCACAGGGGCTTTAGCTCTCTTGCCCCCTCTGCCAGCTGCTCTGCTCACCCCTGCTTTCCTCACTTTTACGCAGGTGCAGGGACTGTCCCTGCCTTGCCACCCCACCCCTGTTGCCAACAAAAAGAAAAAAGCACAAAGCCTTAAGATCTAACTGTCCTGAGACTCTAGGAAAGTGGGAGAGTGGGAGCCGCACCATTTAAAGGAGCAGAGAATTCTGACAGCTGTCCCGACTCAGGCTTCCCTTCAAACCAAGATTTCTGCCAGGGCGCATCAGGGGTTTTGACGGGGACTTAAGCACACACACAAGCATTTAATTATAATGTAATGTAATATGAACTCAGTATCACGTGATTGCATGTTAATTATATTTTAAAGTTAGTTCTTACCACCCTGCAGTTGAATGTATAGGATCCTCCAACTTAATTCTGTTTCTTGCAGGCAAATTCTACAAAGCTCAGCACTACACCTAAGTTCACTAACAAAACATACAGCTGCTGAGGCACCCCAAACGCAAACCAAATCCACACTCGAGCCATTTTTGCTGCGTGAAATAAAACACATGGGAAAAAGCTTTTACCAGAGTGGATTGAGAACGGTTTTGCAAGTCTGCCTGGTGCACAGGACGGGCTCGTACTGCACGGGAGGCAAATCCAATCGCTCTTTCAGTGGCGTCAAGAGGCAGGCCAGTGGCACAACCATCCGCGTGGCCTCCAGTCTGCTGGAGGGCCACACGTTCCAGCTAAAACGCACTCCGTCGCGCTCCTCATTTTGCTGGATGAACTCCAGGTATGTCGCCATAGAACCACGACGTTTCTGCAAAGACAAACACATTTGTTTGGGTGTGACTGGAGCTTCTCAATAGCCAGCGAGGGTTTCTTTCCATCGACCGCACCGACAGCTAGGTCACTTGAAACACGTGTCCAAAGAGATTCAGTGACTTTGGCATGAAATGGCTCAAGACGGCAAGGCACTGTTGTTTGTCCATCGCTAAAATTCGGTGGGTCTGGCTTACCAGGCTGCAGCACACAAAGGACCTTCTCAGTGGTGGCACCGCTCTTTGGAACACACATGGCTTGAGAAACACAAATAGCAGCAAATTTTAAATGCCTCTTGAAAGCACACTTGCTCACACTGGCTTTCCAGGCACTCTGTACACAGTTTTATCGTTATTGTGTTGTAATGCTTTTTAATTATTTTCTAGTTTCTTATTTTCTGTCTGCTTATAGAGGCTTTGGGATTAACTTAATTGCAGAAGATAAGGTGAATGTATAAATGTTTTATTTTCTTTTTATATTGTCACGGCTACCATAGCTGGCCGGGTCATCCTAAGAAGAAAAGGACCTTTCTTCATTTAACCATACATAGGACTGCACTCCAAGCAATATAAAAGTATTACAAGTTAAACCAAAAAATAATCTGGGTTGAAAAACACCTATGAACCCCACATAAAAGATGCTGAGCACGCGAGTCTAACCAATAAACAAAAATGACAAGATGTTTCTAAAAAGTCATCCTGGGATATAAGCCACCGCAAAATTTATAGTCTGAACATGTTGGAACCAGCTGGATACCAAGCAGCGCAGCGGAGAAAGGCTTATCCAATTCTGGGCCGCCTGAACAGCTCCTGCCTGGTCCACGGGGCGCCTGCTGGCCAGCCCTGACCGGGAAGAGACCCAAAGCCAGGACGGACTTTCTGGCAGAGGCGTTTCAAGCCGTCCTTCCTTCCCCACCGGAGACTGAGCTGCGCCGCCTCCGAAGGAGTTACGGGCTGGACCGAGAAACAGGCTCCGCGCGGGTCGGCGGAAAACCGCCTTTCTTCGCACAAACGAGCCAGCCCAGACTTAGTCCCAGTTTGCAGGGAGGTCGATGGAAAGCCGCTGCTGCGGGAACCGGGGGGGCCCGGGCGACGGAGCCGCACCCGCGGGGCGCCAGGCCATGCCTCCCGGCGGGGGCCAAGCCAGCGAGCCGCCGCACGGAGCACCCGAGCCGCAGGTGGCCGCGCACCGGTCCAGCTGCCCGGCGTCGGGCAGGCTCCGCTTGCACCGGACGCGGCCCCGCTCATCGGCCCCCGGCTCCGAGGGCGCCCCGTTCGGCCGGCCGGCCCGGCCCGGCCACCACCGCCCCCCGGAGGGGTGCAAAGCGCCGCCCGGGCCCCCCCCGGTGATGTGCACGGGGAGGGGAGGGGAGGGGAGGGCCGCGGGGGCAGCCCTTCCCCGGCCCCCCAGTTTTACCCCCCCCCGCCCTGCACCCAGGTCAGCCCGCGCGGGCACCGCACCAGCCCTGCGAGGTGGGCCGGCGGCCGAGCGCCGCGGTGGGGCTCGGACCGGCTGCCCGGGCTCTCCTCGGCGCCCCCGCGCGGGGCAGGGGCAGGGCGGGCGGGCGCGCGGGGTCGGGCCGCCCCCGAGGAGCTCGCTCTCTCTCTAGAGGCGGGGGGGCGACTTCCCGGGAGAAGCGCCCCAGGGCCCCCGGCCCGCCGCCCCCGCCCGGCTCACCTCAGTGCGCCCCGCCGCCGGCTCGGCTCCGCTCCGCTCCGCTCGCCGCGCCGAAAGGACAGCTCAGCGCCGGCTCGCCCTCACCCAAGATGGCGGCCGCGCCGTCGCCATAGACTCGCGGGTAGAGTCGCGCGCGGGCGGCACGCAGCGCGCTCGCGGGACGCTTCGCGCGGAGGCGAGCGAGTGCTCCCCGGCTAGCAGGCGCTTTCCCGGGAAGGCAAGCCCGTGCAAGGAGAAGGCTCCCCGCGGAAGAGAGGAGCGGCCTGCCGGGCGGGGAAAGAGGCGGGCCAGCGGCGAGGCGGAGCAAAGCTGGGGGGCAAGCCGCAGGGGCAGGCGCGCCTGGCCGGCCTGCAAGCGGGAGCTGCCCTGCGAGCGCGGGAGGTAGCGGCGAGCTCCTCCCGGCACGCGTGATGGAGCGGGCCACGTTCGCTCTGCATCGTCTTCCGCCTCGCTGGCTGCTTTTTCTTACTGCGCTGCATTGCATTGATCGGCCACCTCCAAGCTGCTCCAGCTGATCGTCACAACAGCCCTGCAAGGTGGGGTGGCCTCTCCCAGGGCCCAGTCCGACACTCCAGCCATCACACTACGGGTTTTTTTGCAACATACATGAGCACACGTGTGTGCGTGCGTGCAAAGCCAGTAAAATCAGAAGGCAATTCAGTGCAGAAAGGAACAATGCCATTACCTATAGTCGTCTGCAGCGCGGGTGTCGCTGGGTAACCGCCAAGAGAGCGTCGGCTATTGGGCGGTATAAAAATTAAATAAACAATAAGCAGGCATCCTGGCGCTGGAAAGCCCGCGAACTCACGCAAGCGGCATACAATGCCATTCAAGTCACGGGGGTAAAAAAACCCTCAGCATGAACCGAGAATTCATGTCCGGATACCAGTGCGTAGCACCTCTTCCATTTTCATGCTTCTAGAGCTTCGTGGGGGTCTCGGCTATTGGCCGGGCGAAGTCCACGTCGGCCCTCCGGTTGGGGCGGGGCATCCCCCGCGGCCGCCTCCTCCCCGGAGAATGGCCCTTTTCCAAGATGGCCTCCGCTCTGGCAGAGGAAGGGCGGGCTGAGCCCTAGACTCGCAGTGCAGAGGGGTGCTTTCGCGGCTCTAAGGGGCACTTCAGACTTGCGATAGAAGAGACGACGCCTCGAGGGATCGGAGGGGTCGGGTCGCCCCACGAGACGGGGAAGAAGGCGGGAAGTGGGTGCACACGTGCCTTTGCAAACATCCGTGCCGGATGCCGGATGCGCGGTCTGCGCGGCGCGGGGGGGCGAGCCCGGATCCTGCATCCTGCATCCCGAAGCGGGCTCCGTGCGAGGCTTCCCGGATGCAGGCGGGCAGGTTGGAGCGGGCGGCGATGACGCGCCAGTCTCGCCTCGGCGCTGCAGATCGAGGCCACCCCGGCCGAAGGACGAGGCTTCGACCGCTGCCGCACTGTAGTGCAGAGCGGTCTTTCCTGGAGCCGAGAGAATGGCACTGTCCCACTTTTTAAATTGCAAATGTCCCCAGTTAAATCACGTGAGATCGTGGGAATGCGCTCTGTGCAGCCCATAATACACAGAATTTGGAGGAGGGGCGTGTGAACACCCCGGAGGAACTGAAAGAGGCACAAGAGGCCCTAGATCAAGGAAGGAACTTGCCCTGGAAGGGAAAGAAATGACAAAATCGCTCCGGGCACATGACGAGCAGGCAACGCTGGCTGGAAAAGACCTTCCTGCTGGGGAGATCCAAGGCAGGAGATGAAGGGCGAGGCCCAATGTGAGGTGGATCGGTGCCGTCAAGGGAGCCCCAGCCTTGAACATGGGAGAGCTGAGCGGAGCTGTCACAGACATCATGCAGGGCTTTCACGCACAGGGTCCCCAGAAGTCGGAGCTGGCGGCATGGTACAACCACCTGCGTGTGTCGGGTCCTGTGTGGATGACTGGAAACCCTCCAAAGTGCCGTCTGCGACAGCTCCGCTCAGCTCTCCCAGGGGCGAGGTGGTGGTGTCCTTACCGAGTCCGCCCATCTCACGCCTGGCCTTCCCTTTCACCTTCCGACTTCAGTGTTCCTTGGATTTTTGATTAAAGATTTGGATGAGGAGGTGCAGATCAGATCTGCAGATCACACAGAACTGGGTGGGAGAGCGAATACCCTGGAAGGACGGAAGAACATTCAGGGCGGTCTGGATGGGTCGTAGCGCTGGGCTGAGAGCAACAGAATGAAATTCAACAGGGACACAAGCAAGTTCTGCACCTAGGGAAAAGGAACCAGATGCACTGTTACAAGGCGAGCGATCCTTGGCTCAGGAATAACACTGCAAGTGAGGCAGATTTTGGGACTGTTGCGAACCGCAAGCCAAAGGTGAGTCAGCACTCTGACATGGCTGCCAAAAGAGGCAAATGCTTTTCTGGACTGCATTAATAGACTTGCGAAGCGCATGAGCTTCCGCTTCCCTCTGTTGAGCACTGGTCAGGCCCCATCTCCCGCACTGTGTCCCGTTCTGGGCCCTGAACGTTAAGGTAGATGCTGAGAAACTGGAAAATGAAGGTCTGGGGTCCATGCTTAGCCCGGAGACGACTGAGGGGAGGCAGGAGAGCGCTCTACCTGGAAGGTTTATTTATTTATTTAGAATATGTATATGCTGTCCTAGCGTGAAAGCCTCAGGACAGCTTACATAAATGAAATAAAATAAAATATAACATGAATAAAATTACCGACCCACACTGGCTGCAGTTAAAAACATATAGGAAACAATATTAAAACTTGTTAAAATATTGCTGAAATAAAAAGGTCTTAACCTGGCGCCGAAAAACAAATAACGACGGTGCCAGGTGGACCTCTCTGGGGAGCGCATTCCATAGGTTGCCACAAAGAGGGAGGCCAGGCTCTCCTCTGGATCATCCCAGAATTCAGGACTCGGAATAATGGGCTCGAGCTGCAGGAAGCTGGATTCCAGCTGGAGAAACTTGCTGACAGTCAGACCAGTGCGGCCGTGGAAGCAATTTCCCAGGGAGGTGGTGGGCTCTCCCACACTGGGGGCATTCAAGAGGCAGCTGGGCAGCTCTCGCTCAGGGTTTTGAGTTGAGGACCTGCATTGAGCAGGGGGGTGGACTAGATGACCTTGTGGAGTCCCTTCCAACTATGATTCTAGCATGATTTCTTCAGGATCATGCTGGCTCAGAAGGCAACCGGAGGAGCAGGGGGCCCAGAACAATTGTCCAGGGGATCTACCAAAGGACGGCTTCTTGGGGGTAACCGACCAAGAGCTTCGTTCACACACACATACATGTGGACATGTGCATACATATCAGCAGGCAGAGGAACAAAGGACTTTTCCCAAAGGTGCAGTGCATTCATGACAAATATCTGTAACACAAAGAACTATAATTATCCTTTTTGCGAACTTCAGCAAAGTACGGATTGACAGAAAGATAGACGTTTTGGGGGAATCTGCAGGTTATGAATTTATATATTATGTGTGTGTAAGGTTCCTTGGCATTCTTATTTTCTTGTATATCTTTCTTCTTTTAAGAAGACAATTAAACAATAAAAAGAACATGATGGTATTTGAGGAGCTTTTCTGCTCCTCTTTCCTAATCTTTTGGTCATCCCTTTCTAATCTCTGGGAAAGAATGGGGAACCTGGCACCAAAGGAAAGAATTCCAAAGGAACGTTTTTCTGTGTTTCCCACCTACTCCTCCAAGAGAATAAGGATTCCACTGCCGAAATGACATGTTGTCTTGATGAATAAGGCGTGAACCTGACAAGCCCTTCAATCTTTCGGAACAAATTCTTGTTCCGAATGAAAGAAACGGAGAATTTGGAAGTGCTTTCAAGACCAGATGTTCAAAAGGGATTGAAAAAAGTAATGTTATAAGTGAATGACACGTTATAATTGACAGGCTTGACAATTACAGCCTTGTGCGAGAGCTGTCAGTCTCCTGCATCACTGAAGATTTATTCCTCTATCAGAAAGGCGGCTGGAAAAAATAGAGCGCAGCCTCCCATAATGCGGAGAAGACCACAAACTCTGCCCAAAGAATGTGGCGGCTGAGACAGACTGCCAAATGCGAGCCCCGCGAAATCGTATGGGCTGGATCCAGATCCAACGTCGTCTAAGTGGCTCACTCCTCTCGCGTTGGATCTTTATTTGCTGCTTCTAAAATGGCTAAAAGGACGGGAGAGATGGAGCAATTCTGTCGTTTGAACCACTCGGCTATTTGAGAGGCCAGAAAAAAGCCAGAGTACCAAGTCCAGCCTCCAAAGTGAACCCTGTGATTACGAGACGCCAGCCTTGCATTTATCCCAACAATGAAGAGCTCAGAATGTCTTTATCTGCAGATACCGATTCTTGCAATAAATCTACCCCTGTATTCAGTTGGGGACTTCATGCTTCAAGAAAGCACCGTTTGGGACTCATTTTGCGCAAGAGTTTTTTGGAGGCGAAGGCTTTTGGCGCCCGCTTCATCTGAAGTGCCCCCCTCCGCAGCTCACGGGCCAAACTGCAGGGCCCATGGCAATGAGTGTCACAATGGGCCGCGGTGTTTACATACCTCTCCAGCAATTTACTCCAGAGCACTGCTCCTAAGTTATTTTTCTAACTCCAGAGGAGAATACTGGATTGGAAAGAATGGTGCCCTTGGACTTCTCTATTCTGCTGCCCCTCTGAAGCTGTCTTTCTTTTTTAGAGAATGCTATCAAGCTGCTGGCAGGCCTTGGTTTCCATCCTAAGACATCACCCAGTCGCTCCACTTCTCCATATTGGCTGCTGTTAAAAGCTCAGGAACGGGGAGAGGGGAAACGGGGAACCACAGCAAAGCCTAGCGACCCTATCATGTGGGTTGCAACCATAAAAATCTCACCTTTAATCTTTTCCGTTAATATGCTAGCTTCCCCCAGTGACACAGGCATCAAATGCCAGCCTGTGATCGTTTCAGAAACGTTGTCATGAGTCTTCAGAAATGGTGTTTGAAAAAACATGACTTTCAGTCTTTTGGTGAAGAATACTTTTTATGCAGTACATAAGCTTGGCGTTAAATTTGTCCCATGTTATAATTCCAGGTGGTTTGTTT